TTTTTTTTTCGAATATTAATTTGAAAACAGATTAAAAACAGAAATTGGAATTTGTAATCTACATTTTTTTAATTACAAGTTATGTTATTTAAAGTATTGCCTCGGTCAGGAAATGTACAACTGCCTGCATACAGGCTATTATTATTATAACTAGTGTTTTAATGCTTTTTGTGTTTTGTTAAGACAGCTAACAATACAGAAATACAGACTATAAAATTGTAATAAAATAAGAACTAATAGCTTACAAAATTAACGAATAATATGACGAGTATTGTGGATAGGTAGTCAGTGGTTGCAATTTCATGTTATACACTTTTGTTAACAGTAGAGTTGTTTACGCAATGAGTAAGAACAAGCACTAGAGTTAATTGAGAGGTTGTTTGTGCGAGGGTCCGCTGCCGCTGCCGCCGCCGCCGCTGTCGATAGCAAATATAATTATGTCATCACTCAATGCTTTCATGCTTATACCTAAATCAAGTTTTTATATTCGATATTAATTTTTAATTTCCCTGTCGTTTTCGTCAGACGTCGTAAGTCGTAATCATTATGTGATTAGCTTTACAACTCGCAACCGCCAACCTAATCGTCTTTTATACACATTGATGCAATTGGACGTTGTCATCCATTCTCATCTTTTCAGGAACACGACCAGCTAAAGTGAAGCACATACACTATCTACAAGTTTTCCATTTTACCAAGCTTTTTCATTCGGAAGAGATGAACAGTGGATTACTAATTAATCCCGTATTAATTAACTTCATAAAATAATACAACATAAAAAATATACAAATCAATTCAAGAACGTATTGCTGCAAAAGTCAGCGCTATGACACATAATCCAAAACGCGTTGGTTCTATTTGCAGTCCAATACTTTGGATGAATAAGTGAGATTAGTTTTAGATTTAAATTTCTTAAGAATATGAACGTTTTTCCTAACCTCTAGTGCTACCTCTATCGCGGTTGTAATAGGAAGCACCCGCAGCGTCTGGTAAGTCCTCGGCGTCCGATAACTGTGACTAATTGTCCATAGCTATCGGCGATGCGGGCCGGCCGTGGCGGGCGGTGGGATATCGATCGGCACCACCTGTTCGCCGCGTGGGGGCGCACCTGCCCCAGCCCTCACAACAGTCCGCGGCGCCGCCTCGCGCGCACGCCGCACGCAGCACGCCGCACGCCGCACGGCACAGCACGAGCACGCGCGGGGGGAGCTGACCGTCGCGACGTCACGCCGGCCGCGCCGATCGATCGCCGCCGTCCACCGTCGCCACTCGCCGTCCGCACCACTCCGCATCCCACGCTCACCACACGAATAACGCCTACGACTTACAGAATAAAAGCTGCTGATTCACTACTGAGTCATTCGCGATCGCACCAGGCATGTAGTTCAGCATGCATATAACATCGGGACTGTCGCCGGCGTCGGGCGAGATGCTGGACACGTCGCTGCTGGGCCTGTGCGGGGCGGGCGAGCAGTGCGGCGCCGCCTACTTCACCGTGGACAGCGCCGTACCCGAATCCTCGCACACCGTCGAAATAGAGTACGTGTACGAGCAGCCGGAACCAGAAACATATTTACCGGGCGGCGATCAGGTGGCATCGAGCGATGACTTGCCGCCGATCGTCACGGACCTTTCGCCGCCGGAGATTCCTAGGAAGAAAACAATGAAGCACAAGCCCGAAAGGCCCTTGGTCGATGATCAGGAGACGGATCTGACCAACTTGAACTGGCTGCAGAACATTACCAACATAATGGGCCCGCCGCAGATCCCGCTGCTGCCGATATCGCCCAACCCGCAAGCGAAGGCGCCGCCGCAGAACACGCGACTTCAAAAGTTCAACCAGACGATCGCTAAGTGCCAGGAGGATTTTATGATGAATAAGTCGGAGTACCAGAGGAACAGCGAGAAGAAGCCGCCCTACTCCTACAACACGCTCATCTGCATGGCCATGCGGTACAATAACGATAAAATGACGCTCTCCGCGATATACTCGTGGATAAAGGACAACTTTAAGTACTACCGGAGCGCGGACCCCGCGTGGCAGGTGAGAGGGAGCCTTATCTCCGTCGTGTCGTGTCACGTCGCGGTGCGGTAGCGCACTCGATCTCGTTCTAATAACCGCTAAATCTGCAGCGCGATTAGATAACGTCTAATTGAATATCAGTCGAATACATTGAAACATTAAGGGTCGTACGATATGATAATAGTCCTTATATGTCTGACAGATTGAATTTTCCCCTTCGCGCTTTTACATCTACTACGCAATTTGTTGCAAACGTTTTTAGAAGCTTATTCGTATTTACAAAAACTTTTTATTGCGTCACATTTTGAAAATGAAAATTTTTAATGTAAATAAAAGAAATTATAGTTTAATGCGTAAAAAACTGATGTAAACATATAACATATTGCATGTTTTATATTTTAACTGAATAATTGTATTTCAGAATTCAATTCGACACAACTTATCCTTGAACAAAGTGTTCGTGAAGGTGGCGAGATCTAAACACGAGCCGGGCAAAGGCGGCTTTTGGAAACTTGATCTCGCGCACTTGGAAGGAACGAAGAGGATCTCCTGCAGAACGCACAAGAAGAAGAAAAAACCAGTACTGGCAACGAAACCAAACGAAGATTCAATCGCTGTTGCAAATATACTGCAGATTCAAGACGTTAATGAAGCTATGAGTGAGTTGCCCGTTACGTTACATTTACCCGAATTCACCCTCGACATACAAACTCTTCCTGAACTGGAGGTTGAGACGAATATTGGAGCGAATGTGATAGTGGAACCCATTGCTCCCCCGCCTCCCCTTATCTCGGATCCCGAACCAGACGATCTCAGTTCTTTACTTTTGAATCCAACGGAATGGAATGACTTGCAACTCGATATGCTTGACAATTATTTGGATTCTTGTTTCAAGTAAGTCTTGTCTAATTATATGTAAGTTTTACTTTATGTAACGAAGTATTTTAAGTGTTATATTTTAGATTTAAATTATGTTTAATTTTTCGCCTAACAGTTATCAATATTTCTAGTACAATTTACATGCCTGACACAATGTAAGCCTTGTACATTCCGATCATTACAATATTAAAATTAACGGGAGTTTTTTATACATAATTATTGGCAGCGTATAAATAATAGTATCATAATTTAAAAAATGTGCTACTATACATGAGTTTTTGACAGTTTTGCTCAAAACAGCTCAAATTATAACCAATGTAAAGTATTGAAAATTATTTATTGAAATAGATCTGTGGCTCAAACTATTAAAATTCGTGGAATAAAAGATAGAATTTAGTTATTAGTTTACTTATGATATATTTAAATTACTTTATTTACAAATTGAAATATAGAGAAGGAAGATATTTAAAAATATAATTACAAAGAAAAAAGTAATTTAACCTGGATTTAAAAAGAAAACTAAAATAATTAAGCCCATTAAATCTTTCTAACGATGGTTTAACAAAATAACATTAAGATAATGGTTTGAATCTAAAGCTGGACAAACCAATTACGTAATATATCACTAATTAAATGTCTGCAATAAAAAGGCAGGACCCTGAATTGTCAAATTTGAGTATTTGTAAACTAACCAAGGAAATTTCATATCCCTTATCGTTGAAATTAACTAACCTTTACGAAATCATATCTATCATACCTTTAAACTGAATACCACCACTAGCGCCCTGGGCGCCCTGGGCGAGATAGGTTCAGTTATTAGCACTTTAGCAACCTTACAAATGAACGCGATATAAAGTTAAACTTAGGAATAAACTGAGTGTAAGCAAAATTTGTACTAATATTTGCTTATACTCAGTCTATTCCTAAGTTTAACTTTATACCGTGTTTATTTGTAAGGCTGTATGTGTATAAAGGTTTATATCACAGACGCAATTCGCAGACAAGTTGCGTCCTTTTCTGTCCAGTGCCCTGGGCGTTCATCAAACTACGCCCTGAACTAACGCTGGCTCTGATGTTTATGTAAAAGTATTTGAATAGTGGAAAACAACGTTGTGAAAAAACATTGAAATATATTGAACTCAATGTAGATTAAATTTCTTTATAACCAAAGCAATTTAAAACTATTTAAGAGCACACGTTTAATTTTATATTATCTATATAAAAATTAATGACGTATCTTTACCGTCCAGTATTATAAACGAACAGTGTATAAATTTACGATTAGAATAGATTTTTATTGCTTTAAATACTATTGTTTATTGTAGAATATAATTTTTCGATTATCAATTCTTAATATTATAAACGTTAATAAAATTGTACAAGTTTAAAACCTTTCTTAAAAAGGCCCTAATATCAGATGATCCGTCCAGTATTATGTAAGCAGTTACTGCGTTTTAAAATTTGCTCAGCACAAAGTGAATGACTATGTTTTCTATGTAATAATAATTAAGACATATTCATCATGTTTTGTATATATTTAAGTGAATTTCAAAGAAATTCTAGAACAATTCTTGATAAAATGTATGGTTTTGTGTACATTTCGGCAATTGCTCTGTTCTTTATGGTGAGATCACATGGGTCAATCAAATTTGAGACATGTGTACAATAATTATATCAGAATGAAAAAATGGGTCGATAATTGTCAGTTTGCGGTTAAATATTTTCTTTAGACCTCAAAAAAAAAATCGTCTGATAATATGAAGACCTTTATTAAACCGGTTTCAATATAATTACGGTTTCGCACAAATAAACATATGTTGTGACTAACTTTAGGTAACAAGTGTTAACTTAAATATGACCTATTATTAACCGTCCTTAAGTGTCTTTTACGATGTAGTATCTAGTGGAGAAAATATTCTTTTTCAAATAAATCTCAAGCGATGAGAACAAAATTTTCTAATTTGAAACAATTTTGATTTATCCTTTTGCATTTTGTGAACTTAGTTCTTATAATTTAGTCGTATTTTCTAGTCATTTTGTATTTTCTTAATTTAGTAAGAACTTTATTTGTCTGTTCTGAAATGTTGAAAATATTGTAATGAAGATGCACGGTATTAAAAAAACCAAAAAAAATATTAGTATTTCTTTATTTTTATAGATTAAAGCTATATTCATTTTGTACTTTTTATTATAATTATAGGATTATCTGAATTAGCAATACAGTGTTGTCACTCTTTAATTTAAAAAATATATTTTTAGTACAGATAAAAATCACTAATGTAAATAACACTTAAATCTTTTGATGCAGTCATAGACAAAAACAATCTTCGTAGACATAGATATAGACATTTAATATGGCATCACATAAAATCTATAATTTTTGTGTTTTTGTTCTGTAGAATAGTATTATCTAAGTAACAAGTGTTGTTTTCAAAAAGCTCAAAGTATACTGTGCGCAATATTGATGTGTAGAAGTGACCTTAAATAAATACAATAAATAAAGTATCTATTGTCTAATTGCATTTTATTTTATTTTATTTTAAAACCATTTTTTCATTTAGTTACACAAGGTTCTTATATTGAGAAATTCCCTTTATACTGTTTGGAAAAGCAAGGGAACTGTTGCGAGTTGAAATTTGCAGTCTACATAACACTACATACTCTAAATATATAGTTATTGATTTCACTATATTTATGGCACTGCAAGGAACTGTCTATATTACAAGATTTTATATTTATTTCAAAGAAAATATTAGCCATCATAGCAATGGCCGCATTTATATTGCCACTCGGTAATGTTGGCAACACTGAACCATCGACAACATACAGATTTTTGACATTTAACACTTTAAATGATGTGTCAACAACTGTATTTTTTGATTCTGGCAATCCCATACTGCATGTTCCTACAGGATGATAACTTGTTAAAGTTAAATGTCTTACATAACATTGCAGGTAACTATCAGAAAAGAATTGATATTGTTCACATCCAGGAAAATGATCTGTATTTAAGTGAGCCCCTAAATTTCTTATAGAATCAGTCTTAATTAATTTTACTATCGATTTAATTCCTGCAATTAAAACATCAATGTCTTCTTTCTCACTTAAGTATCTAGGGTTAATTACTGGAGATATTGCAGGGTTTTTACTTTTAATATATACAGTACCTTTGCTTTTAGGATGCAAAATTGTAGTAAAAAAAGTCGAAGTATGTTTATTGAATGATTTCGTAAAATATTCTTGCCATATTTCATCTGTAATACTTAAAGATTTTCTCAAATGGCTACCCCTATCTGAAATTATACCTACGGGTAGAATCATAACTTGAATATCTGGGCTTTTTGAATTATTAGTTGAATAAAAACCTATAACTTCACATCCAGGTGTTGTCCATGGTCCTTTACCTTGTAAATAATAATACAAATTTAAAGGGTTCAACATATTTGCCGCATTAATAGACAATGTTCGATTAAATTGTATCAAATCTAATCCAGAACCTATATGATCTTGTAGATTTAGACCTACAGGCAAATCTTGTATTATCGGAATTTCTAAAGATTTGAGCAATTCAGCAGGTCCTATACCAGATAATTGAAGAATATTAGGTGAATTTAAAGTTCCTGCGGATAGTATAACACCTTTTCTTGCATATATTTTATATTTTTTTTCAGATATGTGTACATTGACTCCGGAAGCAACACCGTTAACTAAAATAATTTTTTCAACTAAAGCATTCGTTACTATATGTCTGTTATCTACATTGTCTGAACTTGACCATCTTTTGCCATCTTTCTGTGTGACCTTACTCTTTTGAAAGGTTTTGCTGAAATATTGATAATTTTCTTTTAATTCCAGTTCTTTTACAGCATTTAAAACAGCATCTGCTAATTCACTTTGGTATTGTATTTCATTAAGATGAAAAATATTATTTTCGATATATTCTAGATGTTTCTTAAAAAAATCTTCATTGTATTTCCCGTGGAACCATTTAACATAATGTGACATGTTGCCGCGCACATGGATCATGTTGTTTAACTTAGATGATCCCCCAACAATTTTACCTTGTGTTAATTTGCATTTCTAAAAAATATTAACATTTTAAACTTAAAATTCAAGTGTTTAATTCACAAAACATGGATGGAAGTAACTGGCAAGAACAAGCTTTACTTGATCTGATTATATTTTATTTGTACAGTTTAACTGCTTCAAAAATTCTTTAAAAATGCTTACCTTATCAACCATAGCAAAACAAGCATTTTCTTGAGGAGTGGTCTCATATTGCCAATCATAAATTGATCCATGTAGGAGTGGTCCAAGAAAAGGTATATCAAGTAATGGATAGCTCCGTCCACCTGCCTCTAGGACCACAAATGTTAAGTTGGTTTCCGTTGCTATTCTATGAGCAATTAGCGAACCGGCTGTCCCGGCACCAACTGAAATATGAGATAGGGTATGTTTTATAGTATTACATGAGAAAAAGACATTTGATACAGCTGTCAAGTATTTTTCTCACACATCTGTAATATGTAGAAACATTGCTTATAGTGTAGTAAATTCACCTGAACACTTTCAGTGCCACCCACTCGCGACTTCCCTTTTACATTAAAGTCGTACTGGCATTTTAAGTGTTAACATTTTTTTTTTGTAAAGATATCATCATCCATCGGACCATCGACTGCGAAGGAGTTTTGGTGATTCTTATTTTAACAGGCACTGAAGTAGATTTAACTTACCAATAACATAATCATACTCTTCTTGCAAATTGGTATTGAAATTAGACAATATCACATCGTGATAGTAAAGAATGCTGATGAAAAACAAAAAGACATTTACTCCTAAACAGTAAATAAGAAATTGTAAATAATATGGAATCCACATCTCTGTTTACATGTTATAGGTTAAAATATATTTATAATTGAATAATTTGCACAGTCTGTCATAATATAATACATGCCATTAGGAAGTGAACAGGCACATTTATATAAAATGGTCACATTTTTATGTTAAGTTATATTATTGTAAAAATTCATTTCATCCTCTTATCAAGTTCTGTTATCACTTGTCAAACAAAATGTCTGTGAAACTTGACATTGACGTATTTGTAGGGTTACCATTGGTAAATCAATTTATGTCGAACCATAGACAAATGAAAAATCACGTAAAACATAGGATTTTTTAAAATATATTTATAATTGAATAATTTGCACAGTCTGTCATAATATAATGCATGCCATTAGGAAGTGAACAGGCATATTTATATAAAATGGTCACATTTTTATGTTAAGTTATATTATTGTAAAAATTCATTTCATCCTCTTATCAAGTTCTGTTATCACTTGTCAAACAAAATGTCTGTGAAACTTGACATTGACGTATTTGTAGGGTTACCATTTGTAAATCAATTTATGTCGAACCATAGACAAATGAAAAATCACGTAAAACATAGGATTTTTTAATTCCAGGTTAAACCATATCTTTATCCGATATCAGAATACTAGGTCAGAAGTATAACTTAATACATTTTCCCATTAACCTAAGACATTCTTATAAGTTGAGGATGGGAGTTGCAAACGGATTTGACAACGACAGAGCATATAAGGGAAATAAGTCTCTTTCGTCCATTAAATATTGGGAAAGCATCTATACTTGTGGATAACTGAGTAGCGGTCGCTTGTCTATTTTGGAGAATTCATAACATCTCTATTTTTTATAGCAATTTTAAATAAAACAACTAACATTTGTTGAATTATCTATTGCATGTAATAAAATAATTTCAAAATAAAGATAAAAAGCCACACCAAATCTTAAGTCAGAGGAGTTCCATGATGCATTTAACCAAGCTCTAAATAAGTGTAATAACAAGTTAAAAACATCTTTATACTTAATTTAATAGGCTTAATAAATATTTAATTCAATACAAATTTCTTAATACCTAAATATGTAATATCTGTGGTTCCAATTTCAGTCGGTCTATGGTTTCTTGTGGCATACAGTATGTGGGGTTTACAGGCTTAATACTGGTATTTCCCAGTAAGGATAAACCAGCGAGACCAAATAATGTATGGAATGGATCTGTAATGTTGCCAGGTCTGTCACTAAAACCACCCGTTTCAGAGTCCTGGCATGCAAGAATGAATTGTTCGAGGTTATTCTTGTCAACCCAATGAATTCTGTTCAGCATTGACAATGATGACATCACCCACCTGAAAAAATGACATTGGGCTCTTAAGTAGACTATTGTAAGATACAATATCGAGGTTTACACAGTATTCTGTATTTTATAAATGACCTTGATTAATACTTATTTTTTTGTGTTTTACAAAGTAACTTTAGAAAGACCTATGGATTTTGATTGTCAATTGTATGTACTGGTGACTTGTTTGCGATTAATCTGACTCGATGGATAGAGTCACATGGCTGAACTACATTTGAGTGTTTGTGTATTAGTTATTGACAAATTTGACTTACCAAGAGTAACAAAGATCTGGTAATTTCTCTGGTCTTCCATTGAGTCCACCGCTGGGAAGTTGTCTCTCACAAAGCCACCAAGCCAACTCATCAGCGTGTAAGGCATCCATTCTCTTACAAATTGATAGTGTTCCAACACAGCAATAAATTAGACCTGGAAATCACATCAAATTATATGAAATTCAAATTGTAAAAATGTTCAACTGAATTATTTTCAATGTTTTTAAATTTTTGTATCTACCTGCATGACTTTCAGATCCCTGTCTAGAGCCGAATCCTCCGTCAAAGTTCATACAACTTAATACAAAGTCAACAGCTTTGGTAACATTGATTGCGTCAAGTTGTTGCAACAAGGATAATGTCATTACAGCGCAAAAAGAAAACCTTGTGTCTACTTCGCCCCATTTATCACCTGCATTAGAAAATAATAAAATTTGTAAAAGCTAATAAAGTAGTACGAAAATAGGTACATAAGGGTTTCACCAGTTCATGATCTGGGAATGGCATTAACAGTGGTAGTGTCCACTTTAACATCTGAGCACAAATGGGCTGGCACGCCCGGTGTAATACCATGACCACACAGAAGACAGGTGTGAAGTGGAAGCAATTCTTTGTTTTGTCTGATGAGTGTGGTGCCTGGACTCGCAAGCAGGGGGGGACGAATAGTGATTAAGGGGGTTAGTGGTATTTGAATGTATACCAATACTCACCATAGAAGCTCCCATCCTCTTGTTGCAGAGATATGGCAAACCTTACCACACCTTCAATATCGATAGCATCCAGTCTATCGTACATTGCAAGTACCTGTTTAAAAGTATAAGCTCAGATATTTTGCCATACAAATATGTGATGATAAAACAGATTAGCATGTAATAGAGTTGTATTAAAAATAAATGGGTTGTTAAGCTAGGATTTTTGTAATGTTTACTTGCTAGAACTACAGATTCAATTTAGTGAAACTCTAATGTTTTATTGGGGACTTACTTGTACAGCACTCAAAGTGTACAGAATGTGTGGATCATGTCCTATACTGGCGGATATGCCTCCACTTTCCTTATCTTGACAGGATGTAATGAATTCTATAATTTCTTCTTTTGGCATTCTGAAAGAATATAATAATAACTCCTGTTATTCAGATAAGAAGTTGTGCATTTAAGAATTACATTAAATTGTTTTGTTTATTTAAAATGCGAAAAACATATATAGAATCGAATTGAAGCACAGTACTACCTTGATGATTGGTTCATAAGTTCCATAGCGGTTAAGGTCCAATATATCCCTGATAATCGAAGATGTTCCGTCATGCAAAACTCAAAATCATCCTTGTTCAAACCGTAGCTGGCTAAATAATCGGAATGTTTTTGTAACAACAATGTCTTTGGTACGTCTCCGGACAATTTTACGTCGTTTTTTGTAAATGACATTGTGACTATTATTAAATTACTAATTAATGTAAATATTTTGAAACAGAAACAAATATATCAAAACAACATATTTGTTTGTACAAAATCTAAAATCTTAATTTTTAGGTTATTTAGCTGCGGACATCACTGTCATAATCAAGTGTCATGACACTGACATTGAGAAGTTCAGTTTATTAACAAGACATGACGAATAAACATTTCGGCAATTTTACGCAACAAAATCGATGGATGGTAAAATCCCAGGATTCTCAAACTATAAAATCCCATTAGCATTTATTAAATATTGAAGACACTGTAGGAGGCAGTGGCTTCATCCGTATTTGATGAAGGGGATTTAATCAGTTTTATTTAAATATATCATATTTTTTGCATTGAAAAATAAAGTTAGGTAAAGTGATTAAGGTTAATTACATTTTGATGTAGGGTTTAATCCACCTCAGATAAAATATTGCTTATTCAAAGCAAACCTTTTGGAACAAATTCAGATTTAAGCGGGATTATGTAAATTTGGCTTGTTTTCCTGTAATACGTGTAGCCATTTATATCCATAAACCGCCATAAATAAGGTCCAATGTTTTTATTTTGTATTTAGCTAAATTATAATATTTGTGGCCGTATTTCTGGATATGTATTATTACTAGATACATAGTATATAGTTCCGATGTGAACGCAATCACTCACGTACATTACGTCACAAAATACATTACATCTTATGCTGAATCATCACCTTGGCGATGTCTAATGGATTTGTAGCTTAATATTATAGATTTAAATATAGTAAATAATGATGACACTAAAAATAAAAGGAACATTTATTTAAAATAGAAAATATCACGAGGTCTTACTTGTGAATAGTTGCCTTATCTTCCAGATGACCTCTATATTTATCCCTTTTTTATTTTTGTGATTAATTGAGATTTTATGAAAAGTCTAAATTTAGTTAAATGTTTTTTTCCATGTGATTCAAAAAAACTATTTAATAACTTATCATGGATTATATTAATCGGTTGTATTGGGTATTACTTTTGATAAAATGAAATTAGTTTATCACTTTTTGTCTTTATTGCTTCGCTTACGTCGGACTGCTGCTAATTCAATGAACTAATACAAAAAAAATTAGCCTTTCATTGACGGTTTCAGTTATTGACTCGCTAAAAAGTTATTCTACCACATTACCCTAAATACTTAATCGGTTTACGTTTTGCAATATCAGTACTATAAAAATCTCCGTCATATTTTTTTTTTTACTAAAAAGTTATTCTAACCAGTAACACTTTCTTTTAAATAGCTTAACGTCTTAACCTTCTCGTTTTGTTTTCTGATACCACATGACGACATGCAACTTTAGCCAATTTTTTTTAAAAAGCTTTAAGTAATAAAATTCTTCGTGCTAGTTGCACTGAAACGTATAATATTTTAGCTTTTTCTTATATGCATGTATATATTTAAAATGTGTATTCCCAGTTCATAGAAATATCTATCTTTAGAAGCTACTAGAACGGGGTAGTAAAAGCTTGTTTTCTCAAGGGTTTGGCGAGCGCTACGCGGATGTTTTCTACCATTACAGAAAATAACAAAATTCTACAATTTGCTGGCATAAAACACGTTTTTGTTTTTTTTATGTCTTTGGGTAAGACGTTTTTTTAGGTATTTGAGTAAAAAATACTAATTATTTTTTTGATACTATCTTATAAAATACTCTATCACACATAACTTGTCTATATCTTTACTTCTATATTAATATATGCAATACTAATCAGAGAAAGATTTAGATTTTTTATGTATTGAAATAGCTCAAAACCACTGGGCCGTTTTTAAAAATTTTGACACCACCAAACAGCTATGTTATCACTGAATAACAGGCTATATTTTGATTATTTTTATTTACACGCGGACGAAGTCGCGAGCAACAGTTACGTATATAAGTTAACAGCGTTTCAGGTAACATGCAGTAAACTTACATTATAAAACACTATCTGTCACCCGCGACTTCTTTCGCGCGGATTAAAAAATCCCTAATTAACCTATATGTTCTACTAACACCTTTCAGTGAGATCCGTTAAGCCGTTCTGGAGAAACGTAATAACAAACACATAAACTTTCGCATTTATAATATTAAGATGTTAGCAGGTATAAAGTTTTCCGTACTTCAGGAGTTTTAAGAGGTATTACTAACAAAAACACTCGACACAATGATATAATCAAGTTGGTTAAAGTTCACCATGAATGTTTTATTTTTAAAAATCAATAAAAAACAAACTAAACATGCCCCAATTTAAAAACAAACAATTTTATAAATCGCAGTTTTTATATGTTTTTAACAGTTTTTATCTTTAAAATAAAGATGACAGTAATTTTAAAATCATTGTGATGCAATCAAGGTTAGTTTAAAAATATGTAACAGTTTACCATTTAGCTAATTAACGTCAAGCGATGTTGTTTTAACGCAGATAACTGGTATCAACGAGAGGCAATAAACAATGAAGTTATAATGTCGATAACGCTGCCGTTACTGCGTAAACATGCGTCCATCATAAAAAAAAAAACAACAATAATGTTAATACGCACAATTTTATTATGTACATACAGTAACTATGATACTAGCTCCCTGTACAGACCTTACTGCGCCATTTTAGTTTATCTAAAAAAGAGTCATGTATTAATATTTTCAATCAAAATACACTGTACATTCTTTACATTACATCAAACAAGTATTAACTATTTAAAATTCTGAAGAGAAAATTAGTTAAATGGGGGACTTCTACTTGTTTTTTCTATGTATAAAACGGAACATTACACAAAATATCTGAATAATGAAAGATAGAATTAAGCCGGATATTCTGTTCGTGTGACAATAAATCAATAAATACAAGAATTAACGTGTACACATTTTAAATAATAAAACATTCATGGCATACGTATCACACAATCGGCTCGATTCACTCTGGCAGCTCTGAATTGGATACACTTACTTCTTGTTGACTTATACAGGCAACGCCGACAATAAGGGCATGGACAGACACGCAACATTGTTTAAAACTATTCTTTTTCTTGATAATGCATAAAAAATTAAGAATAAATGGTTAAATGCAATTTCTTGGTGCATACTGTAGGAATGTAACGAAAGTAGATTTAGAGGTATTCAAAATTTACAAAAACATATGTGTGTATTTAATATTTGAAAAGCTGGCTGGAAATTCGAATACCTTTATCAATTTTTGCGAATTTAAAAACAAACGTTTTTTTTTAATATAAAGTGTAATGAGGGACACGCCCTAACAATGTAAACACGCGCGGACGCGATCTGCCATTACCGGCAGTGCGTTCCAGAGAACATATCGCGCATGTTGTATTATTCCATTAAATACATCAATTAACATACCAGCTGTCACTATTAAGGAAAAAAGGCATGTATAATATTTTTTTAATAAAATTTTGACATATACCCACAGTGTCAGTCGAGATAGTTCTCCGAGATTTTACTCAGTATAAGTAGTATTGTATTATCTGTGGTAAAAGTATCTGATATCAGTTTGGATTGCATGAATGTGAATTAAAAATATCATTTTTTTCAATTCAAAGACTGGAATGGAGTATTAAATGAGACAAAGAGTTTCAGAGTTCCTTTATTACAGAAAAACAAATTGTTTTTTTTATTATTTACGTCCTACGAAGTATGTTCGGGGTAAGCTCCCTTAACTTTGAAACTACATTGATCTTAATGAAATTTCGTAACTATGTGTAATGTAGTCTTAACAATAGTGATGAGTTACGCTTTGGAATTTAGGAAAGTCGTGTAGTTTGAATATAGCCCTACATCGTCGTCAGGGTCAGGGGGAATAGGCAGTGAGCATGAACAGAAAGTTAGAACGTAACAAAATTGTAATTTAAGAAAAATATTAAAAATAGTTTCTGTTACAAAGTGTAGTTTAACCAATCATACTATCATACTATTCATACTAATATTATAAATGCTGAAATTTAGATGGATGGATGTTTGTTAGAGCTTGTAGCATAAACGGTTTAATGGATTTCGATTAAATTTGGTATAGATGTAGAGGATAGTCTGGAAGAACACATAGGCTACTCACTTTTGTCTTTTCTTAATCTACGCGGACGGAGTCGCGGGCCAAAGCTAGTAGATTATAAAGTTATCGATACATTTTTATGATTATAATAAAAATGGAATTTCGTTGTATACTAAGTGATAAAAGGCGGCGTTTAAACTGTGAACTACTATAAATAATAAAACTTTAGGACTACGATACAGTAAACATTACGACGTTGTAAAGTAATTCAAAATACTTTTTATTTATGACGTTAATTTCACTGATGACGTAATTATCTTTCGTTCCGAATTTAATTTACGTGGCGTCCATTTTGACAATTGATTTTTTTATTTTTTGAAAAAGTGATATTGTAAAAAAGGTGTTCTTATGTTCTTTTGTGAAAAAAAATAATGCCTTTGTAAATTGTAATTTGTGTATGGTTTAGGGTTTTAGGATTGGAATCCTGTGTATTAGCTAAACTTTATAGCGGCACGCATTAAGGTTTTACATGTGGGGTTCTTTTGACCCCTCTTTATTATTCTTGGGAGAAACTAAACAAGCTCTTTTAAAGATGGAATATGTCTTTATATGTGAATAAGATATTTCGTATTTCTAGTAATGTTTATATATACTTATCATTAATTTTTAAGATTAATTAACTCATAACATATTTTACGTATGTTTTCAATTCATGTTAGTGTTTGCTATCAGTATGTCTGATAAAACAACGTCTAATTGATTCTTGATTTTAATTCAGTCTTTTTCGTCGTAAAAGTATGCCTATTTCTTTTTTGATTAGAAAAGTAGCTAAGGTATTTTTTTATTTAATTTACTTTTACAGGAGGCTTTGTCGCGACGTCGCTTGAGGCGACGATAAAGCGCCTTAAGTCTTAAACAAACAAAACTTAGTTAACTGTTTTCTTAAACAGATGTCGGCCAACTTAAAAACTATGGTTTTTTACAGCAGGAATGCCTACATAATTTTACATTACTCATTTGTTAAGAATAAAAGAAAATAAAAAGACAGTCAACTAATGATTCGTCAGTAAATCTACTGTTTTTTTTTGTCAATTACTTATTGCGAGTCAAAGATAAAGAGAGGTTTGAATAACTTCCAAACTTTGATAGGTGTTTAACATGATTTATATTTTAAATTTATAGATGTCCAATGAATTAACAGCTAAAGGTGAGGATTGTCTCTTACAAGAAGCGACGGATAAATTTGTGTTAAAGTTCGGTCGGCAGCCGAGGGCGGCGGCGAGCGCCCCCGGACGTGTCAACCTTATCGGGGAGCACGTAGATTACTGCGAAGGATTTGTGTTGCCAGTGGTAATTATAACTGTGTTACTTAACAGTTGAGAGACTCTGTCTACCCCTTTGAAATACAGGCGTGAGTAACTAGTATTATTTAACTGGAAAGACTAGTGGCCCAATTTCTTACTTATATCTAAGGCACATTGAACAATTTGAATAGGAAACTTCGTAGCAACTCGTGTAGCATTTTTTGTAGTGTTACCGAGAGATTCTACCTTTAAGAGCATGCGCACACTTGAAAATAAACTATCGCACAGACGCTTAGTCTTTCTTTGATTCCTATAAGTGTAGTAATGTAACTAAACAGTTGAATTGGCGAAACAATCGACAATCGAAAATTGCGATAGTTTATTCAAAGGTGTCCGCTCTAAGATAATTTTGTTTTAATTCTATATTCTATTTAAAAAAACGTATTTGCTAATAACTTTTTGCCCAAGTGTTAAAAAATAATTTTTGCTATTAATTTTGACCAGGCGCTACCATTCAAAACAGTAGTAGTGGGTGACTTCCACAACACAGATGAGTGTAACATCGTGTCGGTGTTAGCAGACGGTCAGGAGTTGAGCAGCAGTTTTCCCGCTCCTACTATAGCGGAGTTAAAACCGGGCCCGCCATCATGGATAAACTACGTCAAAGGCGTTGTCGCTCATTTCCCTCGTAAGTACATTGTTATGATTTATTCAATACTAGCTTCCGCCCGCGATTCCATCCGCATGAAATAAAAAAAAAACAAAAATGATTGGCCTATGTGTTCTTCCAGAGTTTCCTCTACATCTATACTAATCGAAATCCTTTCAGCCATTTAGCCGCAAGTGCGGAACTTCCGCAAGATATCTCCGCATCCGCTTCCGCTTCCGTTATTTTTTATGCGGAGTTATAACTAACTATAATTGTTATACATTATATTCTGTATTTCGTAATTACATATGTACCAATCTATATTTTGAATTAACGTAGTTTTAGTTTGTATTTCTTTAATAAATCGCCATTAATATTTTATTATTGACCTCCGATACCGCTTCCGTTAACCTCCGCTTCTGCAGAGGGGAAGCCTTTCGCCTCCGCATCAGCATCCGCTTCCTTTAAAATGGCCTCCGTTACAACCCTAGTTACTAGCATAGTTATCTGCGTTTTAAAGGTACGGTGCAAGGTTTCAACGCGGTCGTAGTATCGGATGTTCCGATGGGCTCCGGCGTGTCGAGCAGCGCCTCACTAGAGGTCGCGGTATTCACTTTCCTGGAAGCACTAACTAAACATGAAATAGAGTAAGTTATACATCTTTAATATTTTACATATGCTTTGTTTATTTTCGTAGTAGCAATGTCTGTATAAAACGTCGGTGGCTCAGCGGTTTATTTACTTGGCTTGTAATCTACAGGCCCTGGGTTCGAATCCCGCCATGTACTATTGTGATTTTCGTTTATTCTATTTTATATGTATATAATTTACCCGACGTTCTCACGGTGAAGGAATACATCGTGATGTCTGCACATATCTGCGAAGAAATTCAAAGTAATGTGTAAAAGCAATCAACATTCACTTTGTCAGCGTGGTTGACTATGGCCTAGTCACCTCTTACTTAGGATAGGCTCCAAGCCCCTTAGAAGGGCAATATAGCTGGTGATGATGATAATAGGTTATATTATATTTTAACTAACCTCCAGTAAAAATTAAGCTTTTTCTGTGCTCAAATTTCCTTCAATTTTATATATCCTTCGCTACCCGGGTGAAGCCAGGATGCGTTGTAACTTTGATAATTTCTAATAAAAAAGCAATGTTCTTTTTTTAAACACTTTAGTTTGGTGGATAAGGCGTTGTTGTGTCAGAAAGCGGAGCACGAGTTCCCCGGCGTGCCGTGCGGCGTCATGGACCAGTACGTCGTCACACTCGCACAGAGACACCACGCCTTGCTCATAGATTGCAGGTTATCTATTCTACCATATATTATTTAAATAACTTGCTTCAATTTTAATAGGTAAACGTTAACATAATGGTGAGTTTAGAAAACAATCTTTTAAAACAAGTAGAAATAATATGAATATACATATTTTTTTAAAATTAGTATAAGGTAACCACCACCAGAATTCGTATACCTTTAATCAACAGTAGAAGAAACGCGCAGAAATAGGATATTTTAAACTTCTGCGTGTCTTCCCCTCCCAAATTAACTTTCAATCCTCATCCATTTCATGCAGGAAAAGGGTGGAAAGGGAAGAGAACTAAAATGAGGCCCCCCGCCCGCATCTGCATCAGAGTGTACGCGGTATTGCTCCCACTTCACTCCTGTTTTTTGTGCGTTTGTGGTATTACACCATAGTTAAAGCTTTAGACCTTACGCACACCTTTGTCTGAACTATCGCACTGTTTAGTCGCAGTTAGATTCCTCTGAGCTGATACGGAGGTGCGCACACTGATTTTTAGTTGTGCAACTAAACAGTTGAAGTTGCAAAACAATCGACAATCGCACGACAGTTGTGCGAAACTCAAAGTGTTCACATTCTTACATTACTTTGTTTGCTGCCGGCTTGGAATTGAATTAGTGTTTGGTTGTAGATCGTTAGAAGCGGTTCAAATCCCGATGGTAAGTGAGGATATAGTGGTGTTGGTGGTGAACAGCAGCGTGAAGCACCAGCTGGCGGGCAGCGAGTACCCGCAGCGGCGCGCGCAGTGCCACGCCGCCGCCGCGCTGCTCGCGCTGCCCTCGCTGCGGCACGCTGCGCCTCATCTTCTCAAAGGTAACATTCTCGACTTTTGTTAACTACTTAACACGTGGAATATATAGTGATTAGCTTTCGCCCGCGACTCCGTCCGGTGGAATAAAAAACACCAAAAGTGAGTATCCTATATGTTCTTCCAGACTATCGTTTACATCTATACCAAATTACATCGAAATCCATTTAACCCTTTAGGCTACAAACATCCTTAGATTGGTTTAAATTTTCCCTACAGTTAATTTTACTTTAAGCTTTTTAAAATACCCCCTTCTTTTGGTGTCGGAGGGAAATCTTCCAAAAACACCCCTGTTTACGAGAAGGCTTCAAAATCTTCCCAAATCTTTCGTCAACACTCGTTAGTAATTCATTTGCAGATTTAGAAGCCATGAAATGCGACGAACTTGTACTAAAGCGCGCGACGCACGTCGTCAATGAGATCAGCAGGACTGAGGAAACAGCTAACGCTCTTAGGAATAAAGACTTTAAGAGAGTAAGTATTAACTGTTAGTTACAAACCTTCATACAACTATCAACTATTGTGTAGAATAGTTTTGTTACAAGTTAAACTAAAAAAAAAAAGAAATTGAAACACAAGAAGTAATACAGTGTCGGATCTTGTGGCACTTTCGACTTTGATATGGGACACTTTTTCTTTTACTTACGTAATTCGGAGCATAAAAATTAATCGGACTATACGTAAATATTTAATTCAGAGGGTCAGTGTCTCAGAGGTTGACTTTGACTTGTAATCTATAGGTCTTGGGTTTGAATCACGCCGTACCAATGTGATTTTAGATTCAAATATATGTAGATTTACTCGACGTTATTACGGGAAAGGAAACATTGTGACCTGCACATTTCGGCCAAGAAATTTATAAAACATGTGTGCAATCAACCTGCAGTGCAGCGTGGTTGACTATGGCCTAATCACTCCTAACTTAGGGTAGCCTCCGAGCCTCTCAGTGGGGACCTATAGATGGTGATGATGACATATTTTATTAGGTTGGTGAACTATTCTATCAATCTCACGATTCTCTGAGCAAATTAATGGAGGTGTCGTGTCCGGAGCTGGACGAGCTGGTGGACATCTTGCGGTCCTCAGCCGGAGTCCTCGGCGCGAGGATGACTGGCGGAGGGTTTGGAGGATGTGTGGTTGCGCTGGTAAGTTATCTCTGGAATGTTGTCTTACAATTACAATAAAAGGTGATAATTCATGAAGATTGAGAATGTAATATTTAAGCTATCACTATTGCGAGTTATCAAATTATGTTAATACTGGTGGTTTTGATTTTTAATTGATACATACAACATTCAATAAAACTTAATAAAAAAATCAGAAATAACAATTGAAATTAAAGTGTAAAAAAAACTAAAACAAATCAGAAACTTCTTGTAAATAATCTGTCGAATAGATTTTATATAAGAAACTTTACAAATGAATGGAAATTACAACAATTTATTCATATACCGTGTAAAGATTACAAAGCCTTTTTAAAAATTCTTATAATGTTGCCAGGTGAACAAGGAAAATTTAAGTGGCGTGAAGAAGAAAATCCTCTCCGAGTATAACGGCAACCCCGTGTTCTTTGAATGTCAGCCGAGCGATGGAGCGCGTGTCATATCGTACAATTTACAAGAATAAAAATTTCTGTTACCATATCTACCTGATTTTTATTTCTTTTATGCTTATACTAGCTGTCGCTTGCGACTTGTGGAATAAAAACAAACAAAAGTGACTATACTTTGTGTTCTTCCAGACTATCCTGTACCTCTATGCAATTTCATCCAGCCGATTAGCAGTTTAGGCTACAAACTCTAACAAACATCCAGCCATACATTTAAATTTTCACAATTATGTATAGAATTTGCTCATCCAGGTTCGATCTATGTAGTAATGTTTTAGATTTTCGAATTTCATGAACATTTATCCGACGTACGATAAAAGCAAACATCGTGCAACCCACACATATCTACGAAGAAAGTTAAAAATTTGTGTGGAGTCATCCACAGACCAGCGAGATTGACTATGGCCTAGTCACCCCTTTTGGTTGGCTCCGAGCTCAGTGGGGACGCACAATATGCTGATGACGCTTTTAATTTGTTCGTAGATTGTTATGAGTAATCACAGTTAACTTTTTCTCTAATTTAAGATTCTTAAAAGCAATAAGTGACCATGTACACTGGATAGGTTTTTGCGTCTTTACTATTATTGGGATAAAAAGTACTAAAACAACTCAGTTATATTTTGATCAGAAAATCATAATTATTTTACGAAAATAGCATCTTTAATGTAACTCACGTACTATTCTTGAAAAATAAATCTTATCGTAGCGTATCGAGCGTATTATCCATTTTAATACAATGGTATGATGACGGAAACGTCAACCGAAGCACGTAGTTTCCGGTAGAAATGTAAGCAAAGAAAACAAAGTAAATCAAAGTTATTGTATTTTCGTTTGCGATACTATTAGGATAATGGATTTCAGTGTATATGTATCTAAGCAAGGTAAAAAAGAAACATTTCAATTTATTGTATACCAGCTATTGCTCGCGACTTTGATTGCGTGAAATTAAAAAATGAGTAAAAAGATACTTAGATTACGCACAAATAACGTAGCTTTCTAATGGTGAAAGAATTTTAAAAATCGGTCTAGTAGTTTTTGCGTGAATCAAATACATACAAATATATAAAAATCTGACTCTTTCCTCATTATAATATTAGTACAGATTAACTTTCGCCTACGAATCCGTCTATGGAATTAAAAGAAACAAAGTATTCTATGTGTCCTTCTACACAATACTCTACATACAGACCAAATTTCATCGAGATCCACACAGTAATTTAAGCTACAAATTAACAAACATCCGTCCAGCCATCTAATCTTTTGCATTTATGATATTACTAGCTTTCCCCAGCGATTCCGTCGGCGTGCATTTAAAAAAAAAACAAAAGTGAGTAGCTTATGCGGTCTTCCAGACTATCTTCAACATCTAAGACAAATTTCATCGAGATCCGTTCAACCGTTTAGGCTATAAACTCTAATAAACATCTAAACTTTCGAATATATAACATTTGTAAGATAAATTATTTAATTGGGGATTGGATATTATTGTTCTTAACCGATATTTTTATCTTATCAGTAATGAAAGTGATTTATAAGATTTTTCTAACGAATTATTTAAGTTCCTTTTGATTACTCCATCATTTTAGTCAATCACAAACATTTGCGTAACGTTTTATCATAGTTTTAAGGTGAAAAATGAACCAAAAAAATAGGACCCACCTGCAAGCACTACCTTTCGGATAAAAAAGAATGATCAAAATCGGTCCACTAGCGGCGGTGTTATGCCGTAACACACATAAAAAAAAACATACAGACGAATTGAGTACCTCCTTCTTTTGGGAAGTTGGTCAAAAATAGATAGCAAGCATGTTTTTACACGTTTATTGAAGTGAAAACTTATAGATATTGCGTACATAAACAACAATTTCAATAGATAATATTACAAATATCCTTATTAATGTTTAGACAAGGGTTTTACATATAATTTCATACAATATAATATCGAGGTAAGGTTCCTTCCTCTTTTGTTGTGTAACAATATTATATTGTTTTAGTTTGAAATACTATATGGCATATGGCCCTTCAAAATTTAGTGAAGGTACGTTGTTAAGAGCATTACCGGTTATAATCTATTCTATTTTCCGTGTATTGGACACTATCTTATTGATAGCAAAATAATGTTAATACGGAAAACATTGTATTTCTAGTCTGTTTTAAAATGCTTGGTAAACTTTTTTGCAACTACCAAAACACTAAAAATACCGGCCAATAAAAGTCGGTTCAAAAGATGACAGGGGTTATATCAAAAGCGCAAAGTTTTTGTAACTAAAGGGAAGAAAAAAGTGTTTTTGTTACCATTGCCGAGTTTAACATTTAAAGAGAAATACACTTCGTTTAGAAGAGTGTCAATTTATGGCAATAAAAAGGGTAAACGTGTCAAAAGAACATTTTTACTTTTATAAATTCTTGCATTCTTAACTTTGTGAATTTTCTGACGTGACAGGCGTATTATGAAAGAAAGAGCCAATAAAATTGAAGACAATATTCCCATTTTAATATTGTCCTCGTCACTTTTATTGCCTCGTAATAATTACACAGTTTGCTACTAGCCGTTCCCGTGCGGCTTCATCCGCAAGAAATTATAAAAACTTTATTTTATTGTTAACTTTTTTCAAATTACCAATTGCGAATGTCAAAATGGCATGAAATGATGACAAAATATGGCAATCTTTCTTCTTTGATGTTGGCAGTTTGTAATTCAAAGTCCCTTTCTCACATGAAGGTGTTTTTCCAATATATTTATCTCCTAAGTTTAATAGCGTGAAAATAGCCGAAAGCGTGTCGTAAGTGTGTTTTTTACTTAAGAAAGAATTATTCACAAATATTCCGTGATTGCTGACATCCTATGCCACAAAGTAGTGTGTGTGTACGCTTTATTACATTAGTATAGATATAGATGTCCAACTTTGCTTCGTTTAATTTTAACAACTTATCCCACGACACGTTGGCTCAACTAGCATTAAAACTTAGAATCGTACAAAACATAAAAACAACCTGTTACTCAGTCACTCACACGTCAGTTTCAACTGCAAAGTTCCAAATAGTCGAACTGTGCAGTTAAAATAACTGTGTAGCCAATATTTAAACTGTACAGTAGAAACAAATATTTTACATAACTACTATTTGTTTAGTATTCATTCATATTTTCTTGCAATTGAAGTTTAATACGAATTTCTCTGGATAAAAATATTTTTTTTCTAAAAGTGTACTTCATAAACAATATCCCTGTTCCAGCAAAAGGCGTCTCAAATAGATTGTCAAGAAACAAATTATAACAGACATTTTGTCTGTTATTTTCTTCTCTTTTTAAATTAAGTAACCGTCAACGCCTTTCTACTTATTTTCACTTTTTTCCTTTGTATGTCGAAAAAATTCTACGACACATTTTGCGATCAGTTGCCCGTGTGATTTATTACTACGTGGAAGTAAGTGCAAATGATCAAATATTCAACATTTCTTTATGCAGGATCCTACAGGACGGATCATAAGGTAGGGAGGTATTAAAAAAAACTTTATACAAGAAAATCGGGGAACAAATTTTAGGCTTAAATAGTCCTCTAGCTCCACAAAGCTTTTGATCCGTCCGTTAGGAATTAACCTGTATAACTAAATAGTCCCTTAGTAACCAATTAAAGACTTTGAGTGCGTCAGTAAGTCTTATCTTACAAGATAAAATGTTTAGTTTTTTTTTTATTTTAGCAATTTTCTTGTTTCAGTAATGGACAGTGTGATCGATGAAGGACCTCACTTTACTTAGATATCACTTTGCTATTAACACAGTACTTAATAAATAAAACTAAACGTGTTTAACAACAACAGCATCCTGAGTGCGCTGATGGACAGATGGGACTCGGCGATGCTGGCTCGTTGGATACACTTACATGTAGGCTAGTGTAATGTGAGATTGTTGTTATTTATATTAATTATGTTAATTTTATACTAACACTAGTTTGTAAGTTTACACTAACACCTTATGGATCTTTGATGTCTGAAATAAATGATTATTATTATTATTATTATTAATAAAATGTTTGAAGGATTATGGTATAAGAACTGTGTTATTTTTTCACAATTTCAGGCAGATTTTAAACATTAAAGAGAACTTTCCCACATTAAATCGTCGGAACTTTTTTATTCTTGGAACTACTAAATGAAATCCCGGAAGCAGATTTTTTGATATATATTTACGTGTACATTTATAGTTGAAAGTGTTCAAAGGAAGTGTTTATCTGAGGATTTAAATTACATTTTAACTCCTATTTACTTTAAGAAAAAGAAACAACGTGTTATTTTTTTAGAAAATTGTATATTTTAATTAACAACAGCAATAACATTGACAAAAAATTACAATAATACAAATTATGAATGTTTACTTAAACAAAATTCTTATAACTAGCTTATTAAAAAATTTTTTACGAAGCAAGTAACAAAAATGTTACAGCAAAATACTTAAAGTCATATATTTAGGCAAAATGTAAAAATGGATCGATGGCTAAGGTTCTTTTTTAATTACCAGAAAAAAAACTTCGCTACTGATCATATTTATAAAATAAAAAGTATTCGATATAAAAATCCTACAAAAAAACTAACTTTTGGGCGTTTCAATAAATGTACCAATGTGCGTACACACAAAGCGAACACTTGTAATAGTTTTAGTGATGTCTTATTCATAAAAAAACCCGCAATGACGTCTACTTCTGCACTATCTTTACCCCGCTACGGCTAACATTTTCATTAACAAAATGACTCTTATTTTGTTTGTAAAAAGTATTGTGTCCATATTATAGGATTTTTAAAAATTACTTTATCCTAGCTTTCGCCCGCGACTTCGTCCGCGTGGGATTAAAAAAAAACTAAAGTCAGTAGCCTATGTGTTTTTCCAGACTATCCTCTATGTCTATACCAAATTTCATTGAAATCCGTTTAGCCGTTTAGGCTACAAAACAAACATCCATCTATCTAAACTTGCGCATTTATAATATTATTATGAAGTCTGATTTAATCACCGTAGAATAAAAAAGTAATTACTTGTTTTGTTCATTTGTTCTGGTAATTTAAAAAATAACCCTTGAAATCTTTGACAGAGTCAGGACGTTTATAAGATAATTAAATACTTTAAAAAGTTTATTGGCTAACAAAATTGTTGTTATGGACATTAATTAAGACCAGATTCAATAGTTTTTTAAATTAGTTTCTAACATACTTATAAGTAAGTAACTTATTCTAACATTCAGTACAAAAAAATCGCCTTAATGGCCGACATTATGATATGGTCCTAATCATTTTCTTACTATTTATAGGTTTCATTATTTATTTTTGATTATTAAATATCAATAAAAAGTGTACAACATATATTTTGGTGGACCATTTCATAAATCTATGCGACAATTTAGCATTAGTAATTTACGGCTGTCACAATTATTACAATTAAAAAATTATTGACCAATGATTCCAAGCACCGTAATAATAATTGTTTTTAAAAATTGTTCATTTATTCTACTTTCGACAAAAAAAGTTTTAATATTTTGAATTGTATTCGTTACTTATATCAATAAAGTTGGTACTAATGAGAAATAGTATAAACTTGGAGCTGGCGCACAGTTTGACTACACAATTGTTGTGCGATTGTCGATTGTTTCGCCGCCATTTCAACTGTTTAGTACACAAGTAATAATCGAATATTGTGTGCACCTTCATAAAATCTCAAATAATCACACAGAAAACAGGCGTGAAGTGGAAGCAATTCCGCGTTTCGTTTGATGTGTGGTGACGGAGGCTTAATTTTGGTCCCTTTCCCTTTCCACCCTTTTCTTAAGAGGAAAGAATGGGAAGGAAAAGTGGATTTGACGGTGAAGGAGACGCATAAGGGCAAATGTCCTCTTTATGTGCGTCTCCTCCTCCGTCGATTAAGGGTAGGCAACGCATCTGCAATTGCGGATGCCTATGGGCAGCGGTCGCTTTCCATTTCGGTGGATTCAGGTGGCCGCTTGCTCGTTTGCCAACTTGTAATATAAAAAAAATCAAAGTGTGGCTAAATAGTTGTGCGATAGTTTAGTCAAAGGGCACTCTTTAGACCCGGGATCGCTCCCTGCTACGTGTTTGTGATTTAATAGGTTAAAAGACGTTTTTAGCGAAGGTAAACATCGATCTATCTTACACATCACATCACTAGCTCACTATACGTCCCCACCAAAGGGCTCGGAGCCTACCCTAATACGGGGTGACTAGGCCATAGTCAACCACGCTGGCCCAGTGCGGGTTGGTTGACTTCACACATATCTTTGAATTTCTTCGCCGATATGTGCAGGCATCACGATGTTTTCCTTCACCGTAAGAACGTCGGGTAAATTATGTACATAGGAAAATTCGAAAAATCGAAAATCATATTGGTACGGCGGGATTCGAACCCAAGACCTGTAAATTACAAGTCAAGTGTTCAAACCACTGAGTCACCGACGCTTACACATATTTGTGAAAAACATGGTTAAATTCATGATTACTATAGTCTAGTTAATGCTAACTCAGAGTAGGCTCTGAGCCTCTCAGAGACGTATAATGAATGCACAAATGTTTACACAATAAAAGCAACAATAATAATATGTAGAACGTTTTTAAACATTTTTGTTTATCTACAAAAACACAATAAGCTTAGTTATAAACAACAACAGGTAATTAATTTCACCTTTCAACAACGATATGACGTAATATCTGTCTGACAGCTGTCAGAGGGGATGTAATTAGTGATGTAACGAATAAATCGACAACTGACATATACGTATATCTCAAGTCATCGGATAACAAGACTTTTCGAGTTTTTACTTATTCTTAGTTGACTACAAGAGGGATATATTTTCGTTGGACATATTATATTTCAGTCCTAATTTGAGCAAATAATGATTATCTTTTAAGGATAATTTACTTGTTTTCCTTATTTATTATTTTGTTTATAAGAGAAACGTGTCAATTACCTTATTTGTAAATATATCTTATTGTAATATCAAATGGCATGTCAATGTTTTTGGTATACTATTACATTAAAATTGAGATATTCATTATGATTATTTTGGACAAGTATGTGATTACAATCTAGTTAATGTAACTTATAAACTATTAACTATATTTAGGGCCTGTCCCACAATTCTTGTAAATTGTCAGATAAATCCAACGTATAATACGGAAATATGAGATTTTGGTACTCTATCTGACAGTGACGATTAGCCATTGGTGGGACAGGTCCTAGACAAATAATAAGTGATAAGCAAATAATTTATTTCACTAAGTACATTTCAAAGCAAACACGTATAAGCTTACTAATTTAGCAGTTTATGCCACTGTGGTTTTAATTATTAATAGGTACAGATTCTTATCAAGATCTAAGAAATATTAATAATCAAAATATGGACGTTAATAATTGTGTGTGAACCCTCACAATTTCCATTGACCTGCTCTTTAATTTTTAAACCTCACCAGAAATAAAATGACTAGATTTACAATTCTACACACACTGAGAAGCAACATTGGTCATAATTATTCTATTTAGAGTACTTACATAAGTATACATTTTAAAGCTTCCCCAATTTGAAATTAAAAGATACACATTTATAAAATTTACATAAAGCACTCTTTAGTGCACAAATATGAATTAACAAATCGGTACATCACTACAATACTATAGTAGACAGGTTAATTATTCACTGAGTTTTTATTATTATTTTATCACTGGATAGTAATAGTTTTTGTTTGAATGGTTCAGAGTCATTCATGAATGACTGCTGTAGTAACGGATACATTCCTCCATTTATTATATTAAGGTCATTCCTCACAGAATGAGACGACGGGCGCCGAGTGATGGTCCCTCTGGGGCGCGAAGCAGGCGCACGCGGGAGGCCCTGGGGAACTGAGCGCGGACCCTGGCCCTAAGGACCCGCCGCACGACAGCCGGGCCCTGTCCCTAATGTTCAGTATAGAACGTTCCAGACCCCAACTCTCAGTGTAGCTGCTACACGAACTGCGGTTTAAGCCCGGCTCTGTAGATTTGATAACAAAAAGTAACTTAACAGGCTATTTTTCAGACAGAATATTTAATTTTATGATTTCCAGAAGTAGAGATAGTAATAGAAACTGTATACAGTAGTGGTTTTAGCTTCATTAACGTCTTTAGCGAGAATTCTTCTGCGCCCCCATTTGTAGTGTGTAGTGTCGGGGGGGGGGGGTAAGGGGTTATGTAGGTTATGAGAAGACCTTTAGTACCCCTTCCAGAGCAACTGCCGCCACTCACAGCATAAATAAAGCACACAAACACCTTTCGGTTATGTTAAACTAAATGAATTAACTTACGAAATCGATAGAATGGCTCCTTTCTCCTTTCGTGATCCTCACCAACCAACCACCAGGTCTTCATTTGTCGAGGGCCCTGTTTGTTATAAACATGTTAATGAAAGAAAAACAACATAAACTAAATCAGTTAGTCATGTTAATGTTATAAATGCAAAGGTTTAGATAAATGGTTATTTGTACTAGATATCACCAAAATGACTTACTAGATCTCGATGAAAGGCACAAATAAAGAAAACTAGATTTCGCGCGCGACTTCGTTCGCGTGGAATTAAAAAACAAAAGTGAGTAGCCTATATGTTCTTCCTGACTATCCTCTACGTCAGTGTCAAATTTCATCGGGCTCCGTTCAACCGTTTAGGCTAAAAACTCTAACAAACATCCATTCATCCATCTAAACACATTTATAACATTAGTAAGATAGTATTTTCATAATTTAAAACTTACTTTGACATTGGTGACAGTTCTCTCCATGAAGTGGTATCCGCCATGTTTGCGCAGCGTGACGTAGGTGTCATGGCTGACGAGGACGCGGCGCGGCTCGCCGAGCGCCTGCACGCGGCTCGCCGCGCGCACCGTCTCCCCGAACACGCAGTAGCGCGGCGTGCGGTACCCCACCACGCCGGCGGAGCACGGCCCCGTGTGGATACCTACAATGTCAGTCTTCTACACCATATCGTGCTATTTTTACTTTACTTTATTGTTTAGTTTTAGTAAACATTCGATTGGAAATGTTGTAATAACAATGAACGCCTTTGCTATTGGTTGAGAATTTAAGTAATCTTGGTAACCGGTAAAATTAACCGTTGGTAACCGTTAAAATTTACCAATTTATTCACTCCTTTAAGTTTAATAACCTATAGCATCCTACATAACAAAAACAAAGTGTGTTTACGTTTTCTTATATTAAGCATAGTAATATTGTTACCTAACAACCACAAGAAGACAGCCGTCTATCCAATACAAAGAAGGCAAACGAGCAAGCGGCCACCTGAATCCGCCAAAATGGCGAAGCAACCGCCCATAGACATCCGCAACTGCAGATGCGTTGCTAACCCTTATCCGACAGAGGGGGAGACGCACATAAAGAGGACATTTCCCTTTATTATGCGTCTCCTCCACCGTCAAATCTACTGCCCCTTCCCATCCTCTCCTTATAAGAAAAGGGCGGTAAAGAGAAAAGGACTTAAATTAGGCCTCCGGCACCACACTCATCAGACGAAACACGGAATTGCTTCCATTTCACGCCTGTCTTCTGTGTGGTCGTGGTATTACACCGGGCGTGCCGGCTCATTCGTGTTAATGCTAAATATGATATAATGTTAAAGCCATATGATGTTAAAGCGGTTAAAACTCTAACAAACATCCATCCAAACTTACGGATTTATAAAATTAGTGATATTACAAAAGTGTTTACCAATCCTTATATTGAGTATTAATTCCGGGTCGTGCCTGACGCGTATCTGCGGCACGGCGGAGAGCAGGTGCAGCGCGAGTGAGGCGACCTCCGCCGCGTGCTTCGAGCTGCGCTCCGGCAGCCCGCCCACCACCATGTAGGTGTCACACAACGGCTCTATCTGTATATACAAGTTATTTTTTTATATCAAAAGGTGGCAAACGAACAAGTGACGAAATGAATCCGCCAAAACGGCGAAGCGACCACTGCCCAAAATGTCCGCAATTGCAGATGCATTACCTACCCTTAGTGACAGAGAGGGAGACGCACAAAAAGAGTATATTTTCCCTTCCTATGCGTCTCTTCTACCGTCAAATCCAAATTCCCTCCCATCCTTTCCTTATAAGATAAAGAGAAAGCTCCTAAAACTAGGCTTCCGACAGCACACTCATTAGACGAGCCGACCCATTCATGCGAAGATGTTAAAGCGGGTTCTACCACTTTAGATTAGACTTATACCAGGCTGGCATAAATGATAATTAACGCCTTTTATGCTTTCATTGTACAGTCGAGAAAACTGGCGATGTTCCACATTAAAAGCTACAATCGTTTAAACATTTTGAAACGAGACAAAAAACAAATTTTAATACAAATGCAGCTTATAAATGTCTGTAAGAAAACAAATCGGTTAAAAACGGCTTTCTTTTTATTATCCCTTCATATACACTGTTATATAATTAGTTATTTGTAAAAAGAGGCGGAGTTTGTCTCGTTGCAATGAACAAACAATTTTTCCTGAAATGGAATACCGCAGATTTCCGCGACTGTACATTAAGGTTTAATATTTCTTATAGAATCAACCGATAGCGGCGACTTTAATAGGGCAAGATTTTCTTGTTTGACTATATATAAAGTCGACTAAAGCCCGCTACAGACGATCAGTTCCAACTGCTCGAGAGTCATAAGTAAGTCAATAGGCTTTAGGCTGCGGGAGAATATTGCATAAATACATACATACGAATTTATTTAAAATAATAAAGTAAAAAAAATCAATAACATTATTGTTATTCATCATAATTATCATCACCAGCTCACTATATGTCCCCACTGAGGGGCTCGGAGCCTACCCTAAGTAAGGGGTGACTAGGCCATAGTCATACACGCTGGCCAAGTGCGGGTTGGTTGACTTCACACATATCTTTGAATTTCTTCGCCGATATGTAGACATCACGATGTTTTCCTTCACCGTAAGAACGTCGGGTAAATTATGTACATATGAAAATTCGAAAAATCGAAAATCACATTGATACATGACGGGATTCGAACCCAAGACCTAAAGGTTACATTTTAATTGGTATTTTTTTACATTTCATAATAACGTACAATCTTTTTTACATACCTTATAAACGTTGTAATAGGAAATAATGGCGTCGCAGTATGAATACAAGTCATTCAATATGTCCACCACCTTAAAAAGATATAAAGATTAAATATGTCTATTCAACATACGTTCAATTTTAACTGAAAAATTAAACCAAGCAGTCGAATTTACAGTTAAAAGTGTCTGTACTGAGCATATACCTTATGCCACTACGTATTTTTGCGTGTGTAGTAAAAATGTTAAGTGGAAAGTTCAAATGAAACTAGACAACTGAATATTGCAGGTCTTAAGTTAAATTTGGCAAACTGAGAGTAGCAGGAACAATAACAATTTACTTGTGTGTATTAAAGGCATAACTTTAATGAAAATTCGATCAAAATTTTACAGCTTTAACTTTTTAATTTATCTTAAAGATTGAGAGTTGTCTTTTGTTTTTGTAATCAAAATCTTTTTAATTTACATGATTTTATTTGAGACGGCCCTTATCAGATATTCTGAGAGGAAACGAAATAATCTTTGTCCGCCGAAATACATTAATATCGGAATCACTTCGTTTTTTTTTGGATGTAATCAAATAGATAGAACTTCGGTCATTACAGTAAAAGAAACAAAAACTAATTTTGTTGGATTAAAATTCATAACCATTAGAAATCGTGCATTGAATTGTAAATGAAAGAGTTAATTAATTCGAATTATTAGATTATTTGAACGTTGTTTAGATTTCATGATAACTATGTAGTTTGGAATTTATTTGTCACTAGCTTCCGCCCGCGACTTCGTCAACTATAACATTACTACAACTACACAAACTACAAACTATAACATTTATCTATCTATCCATCTATCTAATCTTTCGCATTTATAATATTAGTATGATAACATTCACTGTTGTTACTCTATATTTTGTTACTGTGATTCTGCCGGTTGCCAGGGGCAAAGAAACTTTCGAACGAATCTCGATGAAATTTGGCAAAGATGTTGATAGTCTGGAAGAACATATGGGCTACTTGCTTTTGTTCTTTTTTTAATTCTATGCTGACAGAATCGCGGTTGCAAGCTAGTGTTTGCACACAGTTGTCGATAGTCAGAATTAGAGCAAACACAGTCAGTGGCAAGAGATTAAGGTTCCCTTCAATATGTACATTAGTATTTGCCAATGAGCCAGCTTAGTATCCGTATAGAGCTGGATCAAAATCTGTTTCTAGATTGCGGTGTGTGTACAACACCGTGCGAATACACGGAATAGTTAATACATTTCGGATAAGACAAGATAGAGTTGATCTCAGGTTAGTTAAACACGAAATAGAAATAAAAAATTCTGCGAGAAATCATAGCATAAATTTAATTATTGGTCAAAAAAATCTATATTTGAAATCAACTGTCATTCACCAAATTATCTGTATCTTATAGAGACCAAAAGAACCCAAATATTGTTTATATGGAATTACTGAAAACATACCTGCATTGGACTGCTCGTATTAACAATGTGTGCGAAGTCTACAATATCGCTGAAGTAGACTGTAACGCTGTCGTAGCTCTCCGCCTGGACCGGCTCCCCGCGCTTCAGAGCCTCCGCTACGGTCCTGTAGCAAGAAACGAATTCTAAAATCTACACTCTACAATGAACTAAAAACAGGCAGAATTAACTTAAATATTTTAATGACTGATGAATGTACTCCATGCCACATCTAGTTTACATATTTCGATGCAACTCAATAATTAGTCTTGTTTTGTAAGTCAAGTTTTCGATACCACCTACATTTAGTTAATGTTTTATATTAAACTCTTGTATGCTTGCAATCTTATATGAATGTTATGTTTGGTATTAGTTAATTACCTTAAATCAGTGAATTGTTAATTTTCATTAAGGTAAATAAATATTCTTAAACCATAACTACGAGTACTACTATATCGTAGAAAGATCTACGACAGAGCATAGAAAAGTCTACGAAAGTTCGTAGCTATTACTACAAATACATTTGAGTAGGTATGTATGTAATTTGTATGAAAATGGAATTAACGCTGTTATAGACTAGCTTTTTCCCGCGAGTCTGTCCGCATGGAATAAAAGAAGCAAAGGTAGGCTTGTTCTTTCAGGCTATCCTCTACATCTGGTCCAAATTTCATCGTAATCTATTTAAAAGTTTAGGCTACAAGCTGTAACAAACATCCATCTATCTAAACTTTCGCATTTATATATTAGCAAGTTTATATTGTGAAGCGTAGGAGAAAGATAAATGTAGGAGATACCGAGGTAGTATTCTATTGAGGAGTTCGTCAGTTCTTCGCTTCTCGTGCGTCAGTTGATCAGTCTTCTCCTCTACGAGCGCTTCTAAGTTGGAGGCATATTTCTCCATCATGGCCAGCATGTTGTCGAATGTATTGGTTTTCCTACAACATTGAAAACCTATTTCTAATCTTTTAAAGTTTTTTTATTATAAAAATTGCCAATAAAGTCTTAAAAAATAAGATAGTTCTTTATAAATGTGATAGCTTTTGTCCGCGTATATTTAAAAAAACAAAAGTAGGTATGTGTTCTTCCAGACTATCCTCCACACCTATGCCAAATTTTATCGAGATCCTTTCAGCGGTTTAAGCTACAAATTCTAACATCCATCCATCTAAACTTTCGCATTTACAATATTAGTAAGATGTACTGACATGCCGGCGTGCATGTCCTTAAGTCGTAGCCAGACGAGGCGTAGCTCAGGCCTACGGTCGGGTCGTTCGCTCCAGCAGGCGTTGAGCACTGCGAGCACTGACGGCCGCGCCGCCAGCGCCCCCAGCGGTGGGCGGAACAGCACGCCGCCGATAGGGTGACGTACTCGACCTATTATCTCTATTAAAAACTTAGATTACTAAGTACCTTACCCTTTATTCGACGGAGTTTTGTTAGCAAAAAAGTATAACATTTTACCAACTCTAATCTCACGTATTTGTCCCTAAAATAGTATAGTACATTTTTGTAAAATCAGTTTTTTATCACACTGGACTCTATCGAATTAAGTGTTAAATAGATGAACTCAAGCTGTTTTTTTTTAATTCAAGTGTTTTAATATCTAATTTAAAAAAAAATCAATCAGGTATAAACTAGAAAAAAATATTTTCACAACACACATTTTTTTAAACATAATCACGTTAAAAAAGTCGTCATTTAAATATAGGACGTAGTTCGGTCATTAACCGAAAGTAACTCAACTTGATTAGAAGCAAGGAATCTTCAATCACCATAGTCTCTTTACGACAGCAAGATAGTAGACACGGGTCATTGACTTTCCTGAAAAAGTGGATAACTTCTGGCAAAGATCGAAGTATTCGAATCATTTATTTTGGTTTGGCGTTTGTCCAAAATAACAAATCAGAAAGCATTGTACAGCCTTGTCAAATATTCTGAAATTGCTTTAAATTCAAAGGATTCTAATTCTATATAATTTTGTGTAATTATTTTCAAGTAAAACATATTTGAAATTTGATTCCATGTTATTGAGAATTCAAGCTTTCTGATTATTCTTTTGACTATATTACTTAAATAATCTGTTTTATAAATTACCAAGAAATCATTTAAATATTTCCACGAATATTTATATAGTTTATAGAGTAGTTTTATTTCAAAAAGTTATAGATTATTTTACAATATTACTATTTGTTTTAACAACCAATACATGATAATTATAACATGAATTACTTAAAGACACAACGATATTAGTGAAACGATCTTAGTTTTTCATTACAACGTTGTTTGGTAATGCTCCAATAAGATAGGCGTCTTGATTTAACAGAGGGTGAAAGGCCAAAACAGCTGGCGAAAATGTACCCTTAACTAATAAACTGAGAAAGGGAGAGAGTATACATAAGGAAATAAGATTGTGTTTTGGTCATTTCACTTATCCGATTGCTAAATGTTTCATTAACTTTTTTTTTATTCTTGTTAACTCACAATAATATCACGTATATTAAATGAGAAATAAGGAACTTTACGCACCTGCGTTTGTTAAACTGGTATCACCCCACGGGCCGTTTCTGCCAAGTATTTCATAGAGTATGATTCCAAAGGAGTAGACATCTCCTTTCTGCGAGCCCCAGGGCGGCGGGGAGGGGTCGCGCAGGAGTTCGGGCGCTCGCCACAACATACGCTTCTCCATTCGTAATGCGTCTTCGGTCTCCATACATCCATCTATAGAAAAAGAATAAGTAACCGTAGTAAATTATAGAATGCCCCATTTGTTTGCTCATCAGCAGAGTAAGGTTCTGCAAGTAATTCTTGCATACGTGTTCGCGCCGCGCCGATATATACTTTTTTTACTCTGTGTTATATTTAATCTACCATTTGTACCTTTTGTTTGTGGCAACACTAGCTTACTCTTTGATCGTTAAATTAACGTGTTCACTTCGCTCCTCAACCAAGACAATTTGTAAAGCAATTAAACTACAACCCTTTTTTAAGAAAAATACTTTTAATATTGTAGGGAATATGGAAATTTCTGTATGGAACTATATGTTATAGTTAATGATTGGTCATCCTCTTACGAGTTTCTCTTATTTCTATTTAATGAAGAAGTCACAAATTGTTAATAAAATGAAACTGTCAATAAATAAAAATACTTACTTTTCAAAGTGTGCAATCCATAATCACATATCTGTAGTACCCAATGGCTGTCGACTAAACAGTTACTAGATGTTAAGTTGCCGTGGGACACGAGCGCGGAGTCGTGTAGATATGTGAGACCTCGCAGTAGGTCCGCGACAAGTTTGGCGACGAACATGTCGTCGAGCAGGAGGTCTCTGTCGGCGAGCACGCGCGCGAGCGAGCCCCGCGAGCAGTACGCGGACACGATACACGCGGAGCCGCTCTCCACGCACACGCCAACGAAAGCGGTTAGATTCTCATGACGGAGCTCTCGGATCTAAGATTTTGAATATAAAGAAAAGTTTACGATTAGAAAAAAAGTAAGAAAATGGATTCATTCACATGTGCTGCAGTGCACCGAAGCGCCGGTTTTCAATGAACACTGAAAATAAACACGGAGTTGAACAGAAGAGAAGAAGAAAAAAAACATGTATCGTTAAAATTACTATTAGAAAGCTAATTTAAACCTAGAATAGAAATAGAAATGTATATTACTAGTAATCTTTTCTTACTAATGTTATAAATGCGAAAGTTTGGATGTTTGTTAGTCTGCAGATTAAAGTGCTGAATGGATTTCGATGAAATTTGGCACAGATGATAGATAGTCCGGAAAAACTTTTTAATCCTACGAAGATGTAGTCGACTGGCAAAAGATAGTTAAACTATTCCTTGATTTTCAAAACAGTATCACGTCTTTAAAAATGGTTTAAAATGCATATTGTGTTTATTAATGTGTCATTGCTATTAAAAAAAATAATACACTGTTATTTTCATCGACCACGATATTTCAAAGAAAACAAAAATAGCAGCGAAAACAGAAATAATTCACTCATTAGTTCAATACCAGTAAAAGCATTTAAAGCGAAATTAAACATTTCACCGTAAAATCTCTCAACGAAAATAAAAAATAACATGCCTGTTTTAGTTCTTTTTTCACTACACGAGTTACATCGATGCTTTTCTTCTTTAATCTTTTAACAGCAACTATATTCCCTCTATACAAAGCGATCGTTGTATGCGCACGTCGCGTGTCTACCTCTTGTGGGATCGAAACCTTAAATAAGATGTAAATACATTAAATCGCTTCAGAATAATGATGAGGCCATTTGAATAGAAATGCAATCTCATTGAAGATGCGAAAAGCGATGTTGCATTACACAATAATAGTCTTCTTTAGAACTTATGAAGTCCTCGTACTTTGCAATGAGAAAATATAGATGGATGGATGGCTTTTTTTTATGAGAAGGGAGCAAACGAGCGGCGGGAACACAAATGTGGTCAACGACGCCCATGGACATCCGCAACACCAGAGGACCTACAGATGCATTGCCGGCCTTTGAGGAAATTGTAGGCTCGCTTCTTGAAGGACCCTAAGTCGTATTAGTTTGGAAATACCGCCGATGACAGACCGTTCCACAACGCGGCTGTGCGGGGCAGAAAGTTCCGCGAAAACCGCACGGTTGTGGAATGCCAGCCATCAACATGGTGAGGATGGTAAACGGCTTAAGATAGACGTTCAATTCTGGAAGATTTAACTGATCCGAGCTGTTTAAAACTGTGTATGTGTAGGCAAACTGTTCAGTTAAAACTGTCAGTTAGCATATGTAACAGTAATGGATGAAATATGGCACAGATGTAGAACATAGTGCCTATACCAAGATTTTTTAATCCGCGCGGACAACGTCAAAAATTAAAAAAATTAAATACATTATTTTCTAGATACAGAAACTTACCTTGGCATCACTGCACGCCGATATAAAAGTCAAATCTTTAGCTTCTATCTTCCAGAGAACTGAGGCTAATTTCTGTTCATATCTATAGTGTCGTAGGAGTAGCGCGGCAGCGAGGAGCGCGGCGACGGCGACGGCCGCCACCGCTGAGAGTACCAGGGGATCATGAGGCAAGGAGCACTTGTTGCCGTCGAAGCCGCACACCGGCTCAGCTATAGGTGGTTTGCCGTTTATCCACGCGATACAATCGCCGCCAACTAATTCCTAATTAAAACAACAATAATTTACGCCCGTATACAGAACGTGTTACTAATATTATAAATGCGAAAGTTTAGATGGATGTTTGTTAGAGTTTGTAGCCTAAATGGCTAAACGGATCTTGATGAGATTGGCATAGATGTAAGAACATATAGGCTGCTATACTTTGTTTTTTTTTTAATTCCACGCGAACGTAGTAGCAGGCGAAAGCTAGTATCATCATATTTACATTAATATTTTGCCGAATCTTTATAATGTTTCAAGGTATTTCACGAAAATTATCTTTGATAATGTCAAATAAACTAAATAAATTGTTATAGTAGTTTATTTTAAGCTATAAAATGTTAAATTAATACTAGATTTACTAGAAAGGTTGTTTATACTCTTGTTACTGAAATAAACAGTTTGGAAAACATTCTATTTTCCCCACCTTTCCGAGAATTGCCACGTACAAGCATTCAAACACATTTCTATGAAACGATTTCATTGAATATTATTCCAACAAACTTGTCGGAAAAACATGTTAATATCGCTTTTGAAATACCGGATTGAATTTTACTGCAAATCAACAGTAAAAGTCGGAATTTTTTTCTATATATTCAAACGGAATAGCTTGTGGAAAATCAGGTAATTTTAGTATGAGCAGTATTGTAAATGTATCATAGCTACTATAAGAGAACGCGCACAACTTTGACTCAACTATCGCACAACTCTTTAGTCGCGCTTTGATTCCTACGATCTTATATTAAGGTGCTTACACTCCTAGATTTAGTTGTGCAACTTAACAGTTGAATTCGCTGCGGAAGAATCGACAATTACACAATAGTTTTTTTTTTTATAACATAAGGTGGCAAACGAGCAAGCGGTCATCTGAATCCACCGAAATGGAAAGCGACCGCTGCCCATAAACATCCTCAATTGCAGATGCGTTGCCTACCCTTAATTGACGGAGGAGACGTACATAAAAAGGACATTTCCCCTTCTTATGTGTCGACTTCAACGTCAAATCCACTTTTTCTTCCCATCCTTTCCTCTTAAGAAAAGAAAGGGAAAAGGACTAAAATTAGGCCTCCGGCACCACACTCATCACACGAAACGCGGAATTGTTTCCACTTCACGCCTGTTTTCTGTGTGGTCGTGGTATTGCACCGGGCCATTCGTGCGAAGATGTTAAAGTGGGCTCTACCACTGTTAAGTTTGCGATAGTTGTGCGATAGTTCAGTCAAGGGTGTGCTTCCGCTCTTAATTTTGTGTATAATTGTCCAGTCTAGTTTAAAAGTTTGTATGTAAGGAAAGCCTACAACTTACAGGTAAGGGATCTGAGGAGTTGACATATCTAAATGCGGCTACAGGTTGTGCGCTCCATCCGGTCGCCGCGCTCGCGTCCTCCACCAGCCCTATCACTGAGAAGTTACCTTCTGCATCACCAGCGCTGTCCATGTTTACCTAAAAAGTGTTTCATATTTAAAACCAAAATCACACTCTTTTTTACTTTTTTTGATGTGAAAATATTAGTAGGTTTTTTATTAATTTACTAATATTTCCTTTAACCATACCAACTAAGCTCTAGGCTTGTGCTAGGATATGGTTCACGACAATAGTCGAATGGCGGGATTCGAACCCTCGACCGCAAGATCGGTAGTACGTGCCCCAAACCATTAAGCTATTGGCGCTTAAAATAAGCAATCTAACAACCGATCCCCAATTTACTCTATTAACCTACATAAATACCTATTGAAACATTTTTCAATCTGCTGTTTAGTAATTTGGTTATATAAAGTGATATCGGTAGTGCCAAGAGAAACACTTGTAAGACGTAAGCTAGCTATCGCTTGTTCGTAAATGCTTGTTTTTTTATTAAATAAACCATAGCACAATTGTTTAGTCTCGCTTTGATTCCTAAGAGGTTATAGGTTGCACTACTCGATTTTTACTTGTGCAACTAAACAGTTGAATTGGCTGCGAAACAATCGACAATCGTACAAATGTTGTGCGATAATTTAGTGAGTTGTGCGCCCGTTCTTAGTTTTAGTAAGCTTTTGTCATGTCTTTTAAATTACGTTTTTTCTAATAATTTTTAAGAAAAACATATAAAATTAAATTGATTTAATAATTATCGTTAGCATTTACATGTCGCTAAATATTGCCACTATGAAATAATTCGATAGCTTAATTTGCGCCGTGTCTCTGAATACATTAACTGCAAATTGTTAGTTGTAATCTGTTTAAGGCGTCAAAGTTGATTGTACAGAATGCAAACAATCACAAAATTAATTTGAAATTATTAACAGGATTGAAAATTGAATTACATCATTGAAGGGAAATATGAACCCTTCAATTTATAAGCTGTAGGCATGTACTAGGACATGGTTCACTACAATACAATGGGGGGCGATTCCTCGACCGCAAGACAGGTTGCATCACGATGTTTTCATCCATCTTAAGAATGTTGGCTAACTATACATATTAAATTCAAAACTTGAAAAACACATCGGTACATGTTGAGGTTGAAACCGACGCTCTAGATAGATAAATATTATAGAGTTTTAAATCAAATACTTCAAGCATTTCATAGTACTGATATTATGATTCAATTCTCAGAATTAACGTTCCGTATTTCCTAGTCTTCCTAAAGCCTGTCAAAGATCTGCGGTCCGTATTAAGATTTCTTTGAAATGATACTATAATCTAACTCCGTGAAATCCTGTTAAATACTTACGTCGAATCCTTGTAAAGATCTGTATGTTGTTGGTCTGAGAAGTTTCATTAGGGTAGCGCCATCTGTCGGCGGTACACCATTTCTCATGGTTGCAGTCGCAGCGCGCGCCCACAATGTTACCGCGTCGTATAAATGAGCAGCTTCTATCGGCACCTAATTTTATAACCCGAATTATTTATAATGCAACACTTAATTAAATAATTTTACTAAAGAAAGTTTACTTTTACTAAAGTTTGTAGTTTAAACGGCTAAACGGATCTCGATGAAATTTGGTATAGATGTAGAGAATAGTCTGGAAGGACACATAGGCTACTTACTTTTGTTTTGTTAAATTCCACACGGACGGAGTCGCGGGCGAAAGCTAGTATAAACTAAGTTAATTGCATTCTGAAGACTACAGAGGTGTTTTTTTCACATTTCGAAATCTTCCTAAATTTTACTAAACTAAGGAATTACTTAAACTTTCCTAAGATATTATAAATTGAATATAAAACAGCTATACTCTCAGCTTAAATAGTGTTTTGTTGTTCTTGTATTTAGTTTAAAGTTACTTATTTAATATGATGAATTTCTAAATAGAGAACAAAGCGAAATGAAAATATTATGATTTAAATTATTACAAGATACTTACGCATCCATAGATGAATGTGTAATAGAATTGTTTTGTAATATCGTGTTACGTCACAGTACACTCGATAACGTGCCAGTGCGGTTCACATTAAACTATTCAGAATTTGAAGAGCTTAAGATATTTCCTCAACCCCTATTACGCTGCCGAAACATTTGTTATAGAATTATTGTATTTGTATTGTTTCATAAAGGTGGATCAATAGAGAAATATATCTTTAATAGAAATTAACAAGAAAACCCGTAACTGATAAAAATCTAATAGCCGAATAAACTTGAAGCTTCGAAAAAAAAAATAACAAAAAGTTATGATGAGTGAGATTCGAACACTTTTTTTTCACTTTTTATTTTTAAATTCTGATTCTCCCGTCTACTCTATGTCTTTTGTGCTTATAATACATACTCTATGACATTCCATAAAACGAAAAGAACATCTCTTTCTTGAAAATTGGTTCAGTCGTTTAGGCTTCGTCTTCAATTGAATTATCATACTTTAAACAAACTGACATACACGACAAACATAATGCTCTTTGTCAGTCGATGATCAATTGTCACAATTCACACTACCGCCTTTGCTTTTATTTAACGTCCAATAATGTTTAGATAAAAAACACATATCGCATTTTAAAGGACAGAGGTCAATTTTCACATTAGTATGCTGGTCGTAGCTAAAGGGCTTTTTCGTACATTTGTATCACTTTTATCTCCGCTAAATCCAGCCTTAGGGTTATGTAAACACATTACACTGGTATACATTGTGTTTTAGTATGTTCTGTTCTGTTACATTATTGTGGTGTTGAGTAAAGTCTAGAGACGATCGCTTATTAAGTTTACCTTCACAACTATATAAAACAATGATATTGTTGACATTATATACTGACTTTTTAACAGGTCTTGAGTTTTATTGTAAAAAATTTGGACAGAGTCAATTAGATCTTAACTACACTATCGCACAAATGTTTAGTCTCGCTGTGATTCCAATGAGTTTATAAGGAGATGCGGACACTATTCGATTATAACCCAAGCAACCAAACAGTTGAATGAGCTTCGAAACAATCGACAATCGCACAATAGTTGTTTAGTCAAAAGTTCGCCCGCTCTTAACATGGAGGAAATCGTTTTATATAGTGACTAGCGCCCGGCGCGGAACTACTAGAACATTATTTGTAATTTTGCGAAATATAAAACAAAGATATAATAAAAATGTTATACTGAAAATAGAAGAACACACTTTTTAAGAAACGTATAGCAACGTAACGTGTAGGTATATCGTCCATACTGAACTCAGTTGAGTTAAAATACTTTAAACCTAACAGTGTTAAACTATATTTTTTGAGGTAATACTGTTAGAGTAGCTTATGTACAAATAACTAGATAAAAATTTCTTAAACAACGCCCGCGTCGTAACGTAACGTGGATGAAAATTCCGTTTTCTGTCGCTTCGTGTTTGGATTGCCAACAGATAACTGTCTCTTCCTAAACCTTCGTCAAGATTTAAATCTCCGTCTACATATAACAGATAAATAAAATTTTTAAATTATTGAAACTTTCGTGAGACATTTTTATAATTAATTATTTTACGGCTATTACTCACGTTTATTTTTATTTTGGTGGCGGCACCGACCAGTTTCAGACTCTTCAGGGGCCCTCCTTAAGGGCGAGTGTTAGTGGGGATGTTTCGGTCGGTGCCGCCACCGAAAAATAGATGTGAGTGATAGCCGTAAAATAATTAATGGTAAAAGTGTCATTTGATAAATTTTGTTTTACTCTTCTTAAGTTTTTCGAGTTTTCTATTGTCAGTTTATATTCCAACATGAAGTGTAATAAAATTCGTATCGGTTAATCTGAAGTCGCAATAAAGAGATAATTTTAATACCAATGTAGATAATAAATAATTTTACGATAGGAAACATGTTCTGTTTGTGTCATAAAAGTGCTGTGGACAATTTAACCGCAGTATTCGGAATTTATTTTTAATGACTGTTTTTATGTCTTATTGACTGACCTGCCGTTATCATTCGATAGACTTATATGAAATTCGTGTATTTGAAAGTTTCAATTTGCTAAAAAACCTAACTTTTGACATGTACAATCGCGGAAATCCGCGGTGTTCCAATTACAGAAATAACGTCTTTTCTTACAACAACCGATTAGTTTTTGAGCTTATTCATTACAATCAGACAAACAGAGTTATAAAATATTAGTATAGACTATTTGTTTTCTATGCGACTTCGCCCGCGTTGAATTAATAAATACTAAAAATGTAGCCGTAAAGTAGCTTTATAATGGTGTAAAACTTGTTGAAATCGACTCAGTAGTTTATAGGTTTTTTGCATATGCAAATACAATTTTTTCCACTTTATAATATTAGTATAGATTACTGTTTGTTATATCGTAATTTACGTTTTAATCTACAATTTCTAGAAAAAGAGGTAAGGTAACAAAACTTTAGAATAATAATAAAGTACTAAATTTTATGATTTTAGTTTGTGTATGAACAAGAGTAATTTTGTTTTGTTATGAAAGGACTAGGTAATCAAACAAGTTGTACGCTTGGGGATATGCGAGGAATTAGGACGAGGACGATTTGGTCTGATGACTTTAGCTTTGATGCATTGACCCTTGTCATAACATTAATATGCCCGCTGCTAAGTGTTTTAGCTTTTACTATAAGTTTGTTGTCCTAACGACTTATAGAAAGTGCTGTTATAAAGATCCGTTAAATAAATGCTTTTATGTACTTTGAGCATTTAAAAACAAATGTGATGTGGGGATCAACTTTAGTCCCTTTTTGTCATAAGAATAGAATGAAAAGGGAACGTGGATTTGACGGCGGAGGAGACACATAGGAAGGGGATATCTATTTTATGTGTGTCTCATCCTACGTCGATTAAGAGAAGACATCGCATTCGCTATTGCGAAGGACTATGGGCAGCAGTCGCTTCGCCATTTTGGCGGATTCAGTTCTTGCTCGTTTGCTACCTCATGATATATATTTAAAAAATGTATTTACCGATTATTACGTCTTTTTAAATTTCTCCTTGGATCAAGGTTATTGGCGTCAGTTCCATTGCACGTATCCCTTTACGCCTCGCAACATATAAAATTGTGGTTTTCGCAGCGAATGGTGCAATGTTATGAGCAAATAAGTTATCTGACTTATACTTTGTAATCAGAGTTTGTATTTCTTGTTCCGATGCCAATTCAAGGGTCAGTTCAGGTCAGTCTTGATGTAACATCCCCAGAGGTCTAACCGTGCACAAGCTGGTAAAATCTACTTTATAACCTTAACGAGCTGTTGCCCGAGACTTCGTCCTCGTGAAATTTAAAAAATACAAAATTTACGTTCGTCCCCTATTTAAACCCTTACACAGTTCCAAAAATCTCTATGCAAGATTCCATTTCTAAGCCCGGTAGTTTGTGAGCTGAATTTTCGGCTACCCTTCTTGTTTGTGTTCGCGATATCTTCTAAATTGTAGTGCAATTTAAATACTGCAAACAACAATTTTATTCTACATTAAATTCTCCTGACAACAAACGCATTTATTTGAAAAAGTATTAATACTCAAACCAATAAAAGAACGCCGCAAATAGATTTTTTATAACCTTCACGGTTTTAGGTTGGAAGAGAGAAGTACTGCAAAGTAAAACAAATGAGCATAACAAATGGAGAGGATTTATCTTTTCCCTAAATGTATAGAGTGCAGCAAGTAATCCTTTGCTTGTATACGATTCTCAGATTTTTATTTCCGTTCAAAACTTACGTACCATATTTTTCGCATATTTTTTATCTACCATATGTAGTACTTTGTGTATCTAAAATCTTTGCATACATTTTATTTTACGTCATATTTTTTACACACTTCTAGATTTAACTATTGTTTAGTAAAAATATAGCCTATTTTATTCACCAATAACGTATAGCATTTTAACAGTAAAAGATTTTTTTAATCGGCCCAGTTATTTTTCAATACATACAAAAATCTAAAAATTAATTATTTTCTCTTTATATTATTAATACAGATAACATTTATTTCTAACCAGCTTTCGCCAGCGACTCCGTCCGCGTGGAATTAAAAAAAGAAGTGTATAGCCTTCCTTCCTCCAGACTAACCTCTACATCTATGCCATATTTCATTGATATCCGTTCGGCCGTCTAGGCTACAAACTCTAACAAACATCCATCCATATAAACTTTCGCATTTATTATATTATAATAAGATGTGAATTGTTATTTACTTAATCATACAAACACATCAACAATAATTCATTCATTAGGTAGCGTAAACATTTTCTTATAACAGATTTCAGCTCTTTCAAAGTTAATGTTAACTTTACTTTCAAAGTATTTGTGTGTAGTTAGTACGCCCGGTGACGTTATCAAATGTATAACTTGAGTGCGAAGGAGCCATTACATACATACATACATATATTCTTACGTACATATATTCTATTCCATTATACTATTTGCTTACAATTTATTGATGGTACTTACAGATGTATCTTCAAATATCTTGTGATAATTGGGCACACAGAACGGCGACCTGGCGGACAACTCTCGTATCATTTGACACAGCTTCCTAAAGAATCAATATTTACATTTTATTAAGTAACTTAATAAACGAAACTCAAGGGAACAGTTCAGAGTACAACATCCTATTTCGTTTACCTTCAATGGAATGAAAAAGATATTTCATATGACTAGCTGTTGCCGTGCGGCTTCATCCGCATGAAATTGTGAAAATTTTCTTTTATTGTTTACATTTGTCAAATTATCAATTGCAAATGTCAAAATGACATGACATGGCAAACCTTGACAGTCTTGCTTCCTTGATGTTGGCAGCAACTTATGGTCTCTTTCCCACATTAGGGTTTTTATCCAAAATATTTACCCCTAAGTTTAATGGCGTGAAAATATATAGCCTAAAGCGTGAACTGTAGGGCTTTTTATTAAAAAAAAATATGTTGTAATTGCTGACATCTTAGGCAACAAAGAAGTGTGTGTTTACTATTTATTATAATAGTATAGATTGACAATTGAATTACAAGAAAAAGGTATATTTGAAGACTAAAAAGAGAGCTTATGTTATATGGACTGTATTGTGGTTCGCTTTAATACTTCTTTTTGAAAATAGCCAATGATTTTATATTTCATTTATATATAAAGCATATTATACACCCATGTATGTTAGATAATTTCACACATGAACATTTTTACTACACAGATACACTACACTACATAAAATTGTAATTGTGTACCCGCGGACAAACCAATGTTGTGGTTTTTGCGCGGATATAATTGTTTGTTCTAAGTGTTTTTGTTTAAATTACAACAATTAATAGCAATACTGTAACAAATCTCATACATTTGACTCTAAAGTAATTCACCCTAACCGATATCCCCAAGAGGATAAAGTGATAATAACTCGCTAGTTTGTTCAGTTGCTTATCTATAGCAATGATACAATTGAAATTGTACCCACTGGATTAAATCGCTGGACTGGAATGATGTGATCGTATTAATAGATGAAAATAAAGACTTACGGGTACTGAGGATTTATAGGAAACGAAGGTGTCAGTTTGAGAACTGCTCTGAACGCCAGGATGTCGCTACTGCTGTTCTGGATGAGGTGATCTGTTGAAAAAGAATTATTTTTATTCTATTGAATTATATTGTCCAGGTAAAACAGGTACAGGCGCGGAAATCTGCAGAGTTTTACTTACAGGATAATTGCCTTGTAATTTACAACGAGAAAAACTCCGCGTCTTCGTACATGCAACTAGTAAGTTACGTCGAACATAATTATAATAAAAAACAAAAATTATCCGCGTATCACTGACCGTCCTATTTTCGTTCAAACACATTAAAAGCTGCGGTTACTGCTTTCCGCGTCGTCTTGATGGGTACAGAATAATAAAACGACTATAGTTTATAAGGTGCCACAGCCAGATTCCTCGACTGTACACGGAGAGTTAAATTTTAAATTCAAATAATTTATTTATTCAGAACATGTTGATATTATATACTATAAATATGCCTAGAGCGGGCGCACAACTTTGATTAAACAGTAGTACAACTGTCGTGCGATTGTCGACTGTTACGCAGTCTTCAACTGTTTAGTTGCACAACTGAAAATGGAATAGTGTGCGCATCTCCATATAAGCTCATAGGAATCAAAGCGTGACTAAACAGTTGTGCGATAGTTTAGTCAAAGGTGTTCGCGCGCTCTTACAAAAGCATACAAAATCAGTATCTTTCGACAGTCAGAGAGACAGTTTGAGATATTTGATACAGGAATAAGTGGCATTGTGTGTCGCGTTTTATAGGATGTTGCTACCTGATTTCCTGATATCCGGAGAGCAAATATTTATTTCATGTTATTGTTACATTATTGGTTTTCTATTTTGTTCAGAATAGATATTGAATATTATATCAACAGAGCTATTCAAAGGGAAACGTTACAAGTGTCATAAAAATTCTAATCTTACTAATATTATAAATACGAAAGTATAGATGGATGTAATGGATAATGTATGGATGAAATTTGGCATAGGTGTAGACGATAGTCTGGAAGATCGCATAGGCTACTTAGTTTTGTTTTTTAATACCACGCGGACTCGCTAAGCTAATTTATAATATTAGTAAGTTGTTTAACGAAATTAAGCGGCCATCTTGTTTTACGAAAAAGACTAGCTGTTCCCGTGCGACTTCATCCGCATGATATTATGAAATTTTTATTTTATTGTTTACATTTGTCAAATTATCAATTACAATTGTCAAAATGACATGACATAACAACCTTGCTTCCTTAATGTTGGCAGCAATTTATGGTCTCTTTCCCACATTAGGGTTTTTATCCAAAATATTTACCCCCTAAGTTTAATGGCGTTAATATATATAGCCTAAAGCGTGTCGCTAGTGTAGGGCTTTTTATCAAAAAAAGAATTATTCAAAAATATGCTATAATTGCTGACATCTTAGGCAACAAAGAAGTGTGTGTTTACGCTTCATTATAATAGTATAGATAGAGTATAGATAGGTAATTAAATATAGATGCAAGATGACATAATATAGCCCATATTACTATCTATTACTATTATTTCGGTACTGACGGCACGAGGTATTGTCCTATTGTTCTTTGACCTTCATCCTCATATTGGCGTAATGTAGAAAAGGCAACCAGAAAGGCTGATGTCATTAAGAAACATGACGTAAGAATTTCGATACTTGGACTGGACTTTCATTAAAATCAATATAATTATTGTGTTTGGCGTCAGCAGGGGCACAGATATATCCCCAGATAATTTACAGAATTACTGTTCAATTCCGGGAAAGAAAACCCGTTATTATTAATTAAGAAAGGATTTAAAGCAGAAGAAAAATCACTACATATTTAATATTTAAAGTAGCTTTTGCCCGTGACTTCGTCTGTCTCGAAATAAAAAAGTAAATAGCTACGTTCTTCATCAAAAGGCAATAGATGTTATGTCCATTTTATTATTTTTTTTCTGAAAATTAAATAATAATGTTACTGTGTTTACCTGCATGAGTGATAGCTGTTGCATTTGGATCATATATCTCATCATCAACTGCGATGACGGCGTACTCTCCAGCGTCCAGCGGGACTCGTCTTCTGAGCGCGTTTACAAACTCCACCAGCGCCACGTGCTCGCCGAGGAACACGTAGACTATATAAAGTACGAAAAATTACAGATTTCTAAGATACTTTTACAGACTTCTAAACTTTTAATTGTAACAGAGGTTTTTTTTTATAATATAAGGTGGTAAACGAGCAAGCGGCCACCTGAATCCACCAAAATGGCGAAGCGACCGCTGCCCATAGACATCCGCAGATGCGTTGCCTACCCTTATCCGACGAAGAAGGAGACGCACATAAAGAGGATATTGCCCCTTCCTATGCATCTCCTCCACCGTCACATCCACTTCCCCTTCCCATCCTCTCCTTATAAGAAAAGGGTGGTAAAGAGAATGGGACTTAATTTAGGCCTCCGACACCACACTCATCAGACGAAACACGGAATTACTTCCATTTCACGCGTGTCTTCTGTGTGGTCGTGGTATTACACCGGGCGTGCCGGCCCATTCGTGTTAAAGCGGGCACTACCACTCAAAATATATATACTTAGATATACTTGTCTTTCTATAGTTCTTCGCAACATCAAAGACCAATTTATAATGTGCTGTTGCACGCGACATCGTACGTGTGAAATAAAAAAAATAATAAAAACAGCCTTAGTTACTCACAGATAAATTACCTTTATAATGGTGAAAAAAATTTGGAAATCAGCTGTGTATGAGTTATTTCAATACATACAAAAATACGAATCTCCTATAATATTTGTATAGATATAGATTAAGTTTACAATTAAGTAATAGATGAAAATTGTAAAAAAGTTATAAAAACAGTAATTGTACATGTAATCCATCTGTTATCTCAAACTGATCGATTTTGTGAGCTGAATCATTGTGAACAAAAGGTTAAATAATGAATCCCTTACCCTGTTTACTTAATTAAGTCACGCGTTACTGTGTGCTTAGAATTATTAGACACATGACTTATCAATAAGTAGTTTCAAGATTCTGATTATACTAAAGCCTCTATACACATATGTCACGTTTTTAATAACGGGCATTACGGTAAACACATTATTTTTTTTTTATAATATACGGATATATTTTTTTTTATAAGACGGAGGAGGAGTCGCACATAAAGAGGACATTTCCTCTTCCTATGTGTCTCCTTCACCGTCAAATCTACTTTTCCTTCCCATCCTTTCCTCTTAAGAAAAGGGTGAAAAGAGAAAGGGACTAAAATTAGGCCTCCGGCACCACACTTATCAGTCGAAACGCGGAATTCCACTTCACGCCTGTCTTCTGTGTGGTCGTGGTATTACTGGGGGCGAGCCGGCTCTGCAGTGCGAAGATGTTAAAGCGGGCTCTACCACTGTTAAGTTAATTTATTAATTTCAAAAACATTTATCAACCCTCTTTTTACTTTTACTTTACTTGACTATCGCTATTTCTTTAGAAAATTGAATAGAAATAAAAAATCAAAATCTCTGAAACCATCGTATTTAGTTCATTTAAAAAAAATTGATTACTTTAATGAACATTCCATTTATTCAGATTAGACTGTATCTGAGATTAGCGAGCACAAACACACAGACAAATCAATAAACAGACATATCAAAGTAAACAACATTTACTTACTTCGTGTCTTAAAATATGTGTTGTCAACAATTCTCTGTATGTGCTCCGACTTGTGCGGTAGGTAGTCTGTGAATCTATGCTCAGCTGTTATCACGAGACCGTTACTCTGTGATAATTCCTGTACAAACATATATATTTTTAAAAGGAGTATACACACTAGGGGTTGCAGTTAGGAGAAAAGTTGGACTAACTCCCATGTTCTCTTAATACTCTGCACTATACTAATATAATAATGCGTAATACACACACTACTTATGTATGTTTTTGAATATTTTCTTTTTAAAACACTTCACTTACGACACCCTTTAGGCTGTATATTTTCACGCTCTTAAAGTTATGGAATACATAATTTGGAAAAAACGTCTCAGGGGAACTGAACATAAACTACAAGCTAACAATATTAATGGAGCAAGGTTTCCATGGTAACGGTAATTGTAATACAATGTCAAAGGCCTTTGTTAATATTTGTGCATTTAAATTTTGACATTTGCAATTGAAAATTTCACAAATGTTAACAATAAAAAGTTTGTTTTCTATAATTTTATGCGGATGAAGCCGCACGGGAACTGCTAGTGATTTATAACATAATGAAAACCTTTTTTCAATAAGCGGTCAACCCTGACCGGGCATACTGAGCCTACATCAAAAAGATATATGGGCAAATCAAAAATGAATTTATTACTGTCTCGACTTTCTTGTCTGTCTTGTATGTATTTAAAAATTTTTATATATAAAAAAATTCCTCATTGGTTACTCAAATTTTTTTGTTCAGAATAATGAATTTCTATTCTAATAATATTGTTACACATTTGTAGAATGTCAGCAAATTTCAGGGAAAACTAGTTAATTGTTTCTACAATTACACAATTTGTTTTGCGTAAGAAACTGAGTGTAAGTTCTAGAATCATTCCGTCTCCGAATAATGCCAACAAAACTATTCATTGAAAACTAACAATGTATGCACTTTGCGGTCAATAGATATTGATTTAAAGCAGAGTTGCCAAAACTTTGTTTAGTTTGCAATACTTGAAGTGAATTTAGTCTGTGGCATGCCAATTTGTAACTATATATAATAGTTTACAATACTGCTTTAATTTGAGACTCATAGTTGAGTTACAGCAAACTACGGTTGTTATACTGCAAGCAAAACATTCATTCACAATTACAAAGCTATTGTGGTATCCTATTAACATATAACTAAATATTATTATATAAACGCTGACCCCCCTTCCCCCACTTGAACTAGCGTAGATCACCGTTTGATGACGTTCGTGTTCTTGCTAATAATATAAATGCTAAACTTCAGATCGATGTATGTAAATAAAATTTAGCTCATTAATAGATTACGAGAACTGTGTTCAATAGCGCAATGGATGTTTATTTGCAGACGAAGTCAGGATCAAAAGCAACTCTTACTTTTATAGCGTCCATCTGCTGTCCAGCGGCGGTGCTCTCGTCGCCGGCGACTATCGCGAACTTGTTCCATCCGAAGGCTTTGAGCAAAGCTACCACGGATTTGCTGACCTTGTGCGCGGGCGGCAGCGTGCGGGCGAAAGTCACGCCCAGCCCGCCCGCCTCGCGCGAACCATGCGCACCGGGACATTTCTAAGCAATAGAAATATGTAATAAAATAGCTGTCCCCGTGCGGCTTCATCCGCATGAAATTATAAAGACATTGTTGACAATTGTCAAATTCTCAATTGCAGATGTCAAAATTACCATTACCATAATAACCTTGCTTCCTCAATGTTGGCAGCTTGTAGTTTGGTCACTTTCCCATATGAAAGTTTTTTTTCCAATTTATCTACCCCTAAGTTTAATAGCGTGAAAATATGCAGGCTAAAGTGTATCCTAAGTGTAGGGCTTTTTATTAAAGAAATAATTTATTCTAAACTATACTGTGATTGCTGACTTCTGTTCTTTCTATTTCACCTTCACGTTAAGGTTATTTGACCTCTAACGTCTATATTTACGTTCTGAGTGTGAAGGTTATGCCACTCTCCAGAGACGAACCCATTATTATACAAACGAATGAAATAAACTTGTTGCTTTCAAAATATTACGATTCTTGTAGACAAAAAAAAACATGTAAATAAATAATTCATAACTTATACAGAATACTAAATTAAATCAAATGGAAAAGAAAAAAATAGTAATATAAAGATGCATCTCCATTGTGTACGATAGACAATAAGTTTTCACGATATGTGACCGTCGTGACCGTCGTTCAATCGTGTTGGTCCGCAAAATAACATACAATGGAAACATGCCTTACCCAAAAAAAAAATCGTGTAAAATTAATATTTCACTAACAATGCTTTTATATTAATCCATAGCCTCTAAACAAGAAACAACGATGTTCAAAAAATTCAACAACATCGCAGTAGACCCAATTAACGATAATTCCATTAGAAAATATAACCTCCCTAACTCAAATGAATTATAACAAAATGATAAACAAGTAATATTAAATAATTACGATTCCAGTAATTTCTTTCCAATTTTAACATCAAAACAAATTTATTTTGATAAACACAAAGATTATTAAAATAGAGTTTAAAATTTTTCATTGAAAAACGTGATAAATTATATGTGTGTATTGTTTCGCAATATGTAAATAGTATAAATAATCAGAGCGAGAGAAAGCCCTATATTATTACACAATGTTTATAGTTTTGTGCTACATATTACTAGAAAACTATTGCTCTTTTAGATTTAAGATTTGGTGTAGTAATTTCAATTTATTAACGCCATCTGTTGGTAGTTTTACACACTAATAAAAAATATTAAAAACAGTATTAACCACATTTAAAACACCTGCGATCTGCTTTAGAGGAAATGAAATGTCTAGTCTACATGAATATAAGAAGTAAGTTGCAGGTGACAATCTTAGCTTTGGGGAGGCATGTGCTGTACTTACATGAGATATGAGAGGCAGGTTCCATGCAGCTGCTAGCTTTGCCTCAGTGAGACACGTGCCGTCGAGACCGAAGAACGCGACGACTCCGAGATCACGCATTTGCGTCATCACCCTGTACACAAAAAATCATATTCTAATATGACCGATTGTCGAGCAAACTTAGGCCAATCGAGCTACGTTATCAGTTAGATATGGTCTATCATTATGCTGTTTTTCTATGTATTATAGTAATCTGTATCAATAATTCTTTAAAAGTAACATATGTCATGTTATTGTCATTTTATAAGTCAAATAGAATATAGTTTTTTCTTATTCACTCATGAATATTTAGGATCAAAAAACGATTTTTTTCATATTGATAGCAACATTAAAATTCAGTCTTGCGTCACTTTTACGCATAAACAAAACAAAACACGCTCGTATTCCATTCAAAATTAGTATCCGTTTGCAACCAGGCACAAACAAAACCGTTGTTTAATAATACATAATTTTTAAATTATGTTAAATGAAGCGATGACGTGGTAAGAAAATGAAATAATTCATTACGAAGTCTGTGGAAATAAATCTACAATCTACAGTCACTTTGGTAACGCGAGCCGGTGTGGGCGGACGTCTCAATGTAGTCTTCACGGGTCAAGAGAGTTTTATCAAATGCGTCAATATTCACTACATATAAACGCATGTATGAATGTTGAGGCTTTTAGTGGAATCAGTCGTTATTTCATTTCCATATTCATGTTTCAATTAGAAATCTACTTCTAAGAAGTTATAGATAGAGGGAGAAAATGATGTACGTTAATATTTAAGCAAACGAATATAAATCCAAAACAATATATTAGATTGTAATAAAGATATCAATCCAAATAGATTGCACAGTGGTAGTGCCCGCTTTAACATCTTAGCACTGCAGGGCCGGCACGCCCGGTGTAATACCACGACCACACAGAAGACAGGCGTACAAGTAAAATGTGCGACAAGTAAAATCATAACTCTTCATCTGATGCGCAGGCGGGCCAAAATGCACCCCCAATGATATTTCCGCCAGTGCGTGGCAGGTCTTTCTAAACCCACCAGAACTAGGATAAATTAAATTATTATAACTTTGTGGAAATATAATATATACATTTTATATAATGTAATGTACACCTGAGATAATTGTTTCGCACTACACTAGCGAAAGGGACATAATTTCCTTCGTCCGCTCCAGCTTAAGTACCTCGTCAAGCCGATATCGGCCTGTTACGTAGTGAGCGAGTTAAACCAATATTTTAGTATAATATGAAGAAATGTGACTGAATATTTTAAATTAATTTCTTGGTAAGTATTACGAAAGATTTATTTATAACTTTGTTATAAAATTGTTTATTTAGGAACGTGGTCAATTTCGAATGTGACATTATGTATGTATGTACATATGTAGGCTTGAGTGAGCGTCTGTGGATGCGTGTATGTATGTGTGTGAGAGTATCTTTAGTTCGTACATGTGACACCGACCTGAGCGACAGCGAGTCCCTGTCCAGCGACAGGGGCGGTCTCGGGCGGCCGATGTTAGCAGCAACGAAGCGCAGGCGGCGGCCAGGCAGCAGGCTCGGCTCTCGGTTCACGCCCGCCACCGCAAGTGGCAGAGCTCCCAGCACCGTCTAAATCAAAAGGTTAATAAGCTTATTGAGCCACTGAGACCATAACAACTAACTATGTCCATAGACATTGTTCAAATCTAACCAAGATTATAGGTACAAATATACCCATCAAACGGATTGTATGGGTGTAAAATGTCATTGAAGATTTTCCGACTAAATAGAAGAAATGCTTGTGCAGAAGTTGGCTACCTTAAGCTAACGGTGGAGGGGACGCTCGGAATGAGATTATTTATTCTTCTGTGCGACCCCACCTCTTTCAGGACTGCTTTCCTTCTCCATCCTTTTTTTGACAATAGGGTGAGAAGGGAAAGGGGACTAAGTTTTGGACACCGGCGCACACCCTCATCGGAAGAAACACTGAATTGCTTCCACTCAATGGTTTTTTTAAAACGAATAAAACTCCACCTATTAAAGTTTTCGAAGCTAGTCTTAGTTTTTAAGATTATTCTCAAAGTTGTAAGTTAGGCGTTACATGAAAATTACAAGTTTATAGAAACACATAACCTCTAATCTAAACAAAAAACGTCTTAAGTCGTTATTACATCAAAGTCACTTTACTAGTCTCGTCTTGTATCAAAGGTATATTGAGGCTGCAACAAGGATGAACGTTTATATCCTTGTTTACACTTCGGCGACATTATTCAGACTTCATCGAGAAGTGAGGGTACCTTTAATTAATTCTGCTTTGTTTAGTAACGTTACATACCGTTAGACGTAATTTTGGCGTCTTCAGAATCAATATACGATGTATAGGTTCAGTTAATAGACTTGGAAATTTCATATCAGTTGAAGACAAGAGCTTGTTAATAACATCTATTTCTGGCAGATAACCGTTAACCGTGCGTTAGATGAGTCGATAGATGCTGGTGAATTGCATTTGCTTTGGATAGGTAACTGCCAAATATTGAAACATTTAAATAAACAGCGTCTTAAATGTCATGATTAACTTCCAAACTTTCAATTTTAGGCGTCTCTCAGTTGTTAGAGTCGCAGGTAAAAGCATAATTTCAAATTAAACATCAAATCGATTGGTTTAATTAACGTTTCTGTATTATATTCTGTATACAACGAATTTAATATGAACGTATCGTGAAGTAATCGAATTTTAAATGATGTCATTACATAATTTAATGTAACCTAGGCATTAATTAGTAAATTGTTAATATAGCTATTCATTTACGTTTGACACCTTTGTATACAGAACATTTACATGTATGCTAATGAAAATAAGTCAAATTTTAATAAATTAATTAAATGGAGGTATCTATTTCTACATTAATTAGTAGGAAAGAAGTTTTCTATCGTATAATGTAGCGTGCGTTCCTTACTTCATTGTAATTAATAATTGTAAAACTCTTAGATTATAAACTGTTAGCAAGAGGTTTTAATTGTAGCGTCGGCGCGACAGGTTTTTGTCCTCCACACAACTCTATCATACGTCATCTGTCATTACTCCCTTCTTTATCATGTCACCTTTCACGCAATCCATCCATCTATCACTACCGGTGTACCTTCATATTTATAACTAATCTTCTCCTTGGTATATACGATTCATTCCTTTATTCATTAGTTTTAAGAACTGTAACGTTGTAAATTTATTTTTAAATTTAATTTTAATTCTAAAGTTTAGTTGTATAAACAGTCCCTTTGACAAGATAATTTCTAATATGTTGTGCAACATTCGCATTGCTTTCGCAATCTAAAACTCCTCTGGGCATTAGTGTCCAGTATAAATATTAGTTACATTGTAAACAGGACTTTAACGTTATTCGTTGACTCTTGTGTGGAATTAAATGAAAACATTGACATTTCAGATTTAATTCCCTACGCATTTCATATCAGAAGGATTATCTACTGTGTAAGTTAGTGAGAAATATACACAATCAGTTCTACTGAAATCGTTAACTGAACAGACTACAGTTAAAACTGGGTAACTCCGATATTAGCTCACGATAGAAAATATTGAAACAACTAACTTATTTACATATTCGGTCAGTGTACAACGATTTAGTCCAGTCTCATAACAAGGTAAACACTTCAATACCAAATCATGCACAACAAATATTGACAGTCCAAAACGAATTTCAAATTCCGACCAAATTTCTCTTCATATTATTAAACTAGCTTTCGCGCGCGACTCCGTACGCGTGGCTTAAAAAAACAAAAAAGAATAGCCTATGTTTTCTTTCAGACTATCCTCTATGTATATGCCAAATTTCATCGAAATCCGTTCAGCCGTTTAGGCTACAAACTTTAACAAACATCCATCTATCCATCCATCCATCTAAACTTTCGCATTTATAATATTATTATGACTAAAGAAGTGTTAACCGAATTTTATGCGTTTACATGTTGTTTTCAATTGTCTTCAACACACCGGATAAAATAAAAAAAAAATAAAAACATCCATGAAATATATTTTATGAAAACGGTTGAATTTATGCCTATATGTATAGACATATAGAACACATAGGTGTTCTTCGAAACTATTTTACGTCTATGTCAAATTTCAGCGATATCCGTTTAGCCGTTCCGGAGATATGTAGTGACATACGTCTGTCCATCCATCTATCTAAACTTTGGCATTTATAATATTAGTAAAAAAAAATAGGAAATTTTCCCATATTTCGTCTCATAGAATTGAATGTTAATACATTTTAAATGTGATTGGATGAAGAGATATTGGTTCGTTGTTATAATTTCGTTTGTCATTGAAGGAATTTGTTTAACGTCAAAAGGCATTTCAAAGAGGTTTGTCGTGGTTCGTAAGATTATTTTTCCGCCTAGGCCGCATTAGTTGCAGGTAATGTAATTATTGCAAAGGTAGAGTCTAAACTAAAAGTTTTTACATTAGTGCAAATTTTTTAAACTTACAAGATTATTTTATATTAAACATTGTTTAAATCAAACTAATATACCATTTTTATTTCCTGAGTTAAGTCTACTTAAGCATAACTAAAGGTAAAACTTGCTTAACAAACAAACACAAGCCAAAAAGTTCACGTTCAATGTAAAAAGCTTTTCAAAGTCAACCTTAAGTAATAATCTCTTGGGGCTATGTTAGAACACGCGAGTAACTTAGGAGATTTAATTTTAACTTTGAACTAGGCTATAGGCTGTAATATTATAGCGCGTTATATTGAAGCGCCAATAGCCTAATGGTTTGGGGTACGGACTACCGGTCTTGCGGTCGAGGATTCAAAGGCCGCCATTCGATTATCATCGTGAAACATATCCTGTCACATGCCTAGAGCTTAGTCGGGATGGTTAAAGGAAATATTACTAAATTGCCAAAAATCTACTAATATTTTAAAAACAAATATAGTCGCCTATAAGCTCTTAGTTTAATCGGTATGGTTAAAGAAATATAATATATAATAAAAGAAAAATATAATAAAAGAAATAGTAATTCATATGAATAGCTAAAATGATTAACAGCGCTTTTTGTTTCACCTTCTAGTTAATGCATCACCGTTTCTTTCACCGCAACATATACTCGCATTTAAGCCAAAACTGATGTATCCTTGCTTAGTATTATTCAATTTGTTTCGGACGAATTGGTCTTTCAAAGATAATCATACTAATATTATAAATGCGAAAGTTTAGATGGATGGATGCTTGTTAGAGTTTGTAGCCTAAACGGCTAAACGGATTTCGATGAAATTTGGCATAGATATAGAGGATAATCTGGAAGAACACATAGACTACTCAGTTTTGTTTTTTTAATCACACGCTAACAGAATCGCGGGCAAAAGCTAGTTTTACATAATAGTAAATAAAAGCACTATTATATTAAAGACTTGTGCTAGGATTCAGGACGAGATTAGAACCTATTACTCCGTACTGTTTTAAACTTACCAGACTATATCCATATGCTCCTAGAAATCCAATAGTTATTGTATTTTCACTTGTCCAATTACTGTCTATGTTGGAGCACATTTTTGCACCTCCACAATCATCACGTACAATATCGAACAGATTAACACCGTCTGCTTCAATACTTTCTATAGATACATTATCTTCTATCAGATTGCCAGTAACACTTGAATGTATATTGTTAAGATAAATAGAATTCAAATTATGTGTTTCGAATGCAGGTTCATTTAAATCTGCATGATCGATATTTGCGCATTTATTATCACTTGCAATTATAACCTCTTTTGTTTTATCTTCAAATTCTATTACTTCAGAATTATTGGTTCCAATGTTAACAACGTCGATTGTATTGTCTATGTTGGTAATATTCTTATCAATGTCATCATCCTCTAGTTGATATTTCGTTATATTAGAAACATACTTAACAGACATACAATCTGTTGTTAACCCCAGAATACAAATGAAAGCTTTTAACGCCTCCATTTCTCTTTTTACTTCATTTCTCTTAAGCAATGTTTTGACTCGAACGTATCTGTAACAAATAAAATGATTTCGTAAATCTTTTATCTGGTCCTTTAAATGATAGACTGAAAAAGACACTAACAAACGTATTACAGTTCTCGGTTTTTACTTATTTTCGGTTATTAAAATAATTTAAAGGTCGATGCCAGTTGTTATATGTTGTCTGTGACAATGTCTATTCATGCTCATGGTCTATGGAAGTTACTCTTCTGTCATCATGTGTATATCATCATGTACATGAAACGTATGTTTGATTTATAATAAAAATTCATAAAAAAGCCATTGGAGTTTCAATAGTATATGAAAAGACGAGACCCACAAAACCCAAGCACCAGTTACTATGAAGTATGGTCCCACCCCTAAAAAGTACGCGTGAAATATCATTAGATAGGTTTTCTGACGCGGACTAAGAGTTTCAGTTTTATTCCTAGTCAGAATTTGTTATCTTCTTTAAAACCCGCTGCAAACAGACAGCTTAATTTTAACTCTACTGTCAGTTAGAACTGAGAACTTGTAACACTTAATAATGATGTCAGATAATTGTATATTAGAACCTGAGAATAAACTAGACGTACATAGGTTTAAGTTTATCTTACAAACATAACAATCATACTTATATCATACTAATCATACTAATATTATAAATGCGGAAGTTTAGATGGATTGATGGATGTTTGTTAGAGTTTGTAGCCGAAACGGCTGAAGGGATTTCGATGAAATTTGGAATAACACATAGGCTACTCACTTTTGCGTTTTTTAATTCCACGCGGACGGTGTCGCGGGCGAAAGATAGTAGTAAAATAAACGAAGGTTATAATAAATTATTCTCTCCAAGTTTACAAGCCGCAGCGCTAGTTGTCGTGAACATAAAAACGTTTTATGAAACGATGATAGTCTGTGTATTCTTTTAACTAGTTTTACGGAGCTTCTTGAAGATATTAATTTAATTAAACCGAGGAATCCGACAGTTAAAATCACTGAAATATTATTAAGCAAAATCAAACAAATATACATGAATAGTTAACGACCCTATTCCTTACCCACTTCGAATGTCATATGTATGACTAGCTACAGACGGTTCCCTTTAAAATTAATCTCACAAGAAATTTGCTACCTCTTAGACTACTCGAGAATTTTATTGGATTTTTTCTGCCGAAATTGTAACTTTAAAGTCATAAGTATAGTTTTTCCACTTGACTATAATTCTAGGAATTGTGACAAAAGAATCGGAGAACTGAAGAATTGAAAAATACTTATCCAGTTTTTTTTCATTTATCTCAGCGTTCAAAAAAGCTCAGAAATCTTGTAGACATGATTATTTTCATTAAATACCGAGAGAACAGAAAATAATAAATGCTGAAGAGTAAAATGCACTTAACTTTGTAGGGTAGGATGACAATTTTATTCTTAACATTTTTATTTTAGTTTTTTTAATACACTTGAAGAATAGAGGCTTACAGTGAAGTGAGCTTATGATGTCATGTGAGACAAAGTAAGATGTATCAAGAGTAATAGATAAGGTGTAGTAATAGGTACCAAAGTCTACAGATAGAAGAAAAAAAACTATCACTATTAAAGGTTTAAAAACTTTGTAGTTATTTGTTCCTCTTTTAGATTGCGCGGGTTGTTTTTTCTCCACGTTTTAACCCACGCTCTCTTGGCATTGCTTGATTACGAAAAATAGCGAAACATGACTGAAATAGTAAATGAAACTTCTGCTAATAATAAAGCGAAGTACGAATTGTTAGTAAATACTGACGGACCCTCAGCACTAACTGATTGATTTAATAAGAGTTTAAATATTAAGTTAGAAATGAGGGAGTTTTATTGAGAATTTTTTAATGATTTTTTTAAGTGAACATCTTTTTTTTTTAATCTTTAATGCATATTTTTAATTAATGCTATTAATAAATTTCATTAACTTATGTTATGCGACAATTTACCTTGTATTCTACAAACATCGAGGGGCAATAAATAAAATGTACAAAAAAAAATCTCCAAGGTATCTTACTTGAAAAACTTCACAGCTAAATGTGAGGTAAAGAAACAGATTTTTTATTAAAAGAAAATACTCTGGCAAATTTACCTCAACAGAGACTCGGAACATAAATCACCTCGCGACATAATTCTTAAGATCTACCAGAAGCTTATGACATCTTTTATAAAGTTACCAAGCGGTACTTATGTACCTATATTTAATTGTTTACATTATAATGTACATTAATTTAAAATACGTATGCATAATTTAATAAAACGTTATTTGTAAATTAAGATGAGAGTAATTTTTTTGCGATTTCGTTTTTTTAGAGCCCGCTTTAACATCTTCGCACGAATGGGCCGGCTCGCCCGGTGCAATACCACGACCACACAGAAAAAAGGCGTCAAGTGGGAGCAATTCCGCGTACAATCTGATGAGTGTAGTGCCGGAGGCCTAATTTTAGTCTCTTTCCTTTTCCACCGTTTTCTTAAGAGGAATGGATGGGAAGGAAAAGTGGATTAGACGGTGGAGAAGACGCATAAACAGGGAAATGTCCTCTTTATGTGCGTCTCCTCCTCCGTATAAGGGTAGGCAACGCATCTGCAATTGCGGATGTTTATGACCAGCGGTCGCTTGCCAGTTCGGTGGGTTCAGGTGGCCGCTTGCTCGTTTGCCACCTTAAATTATAAAAAAAATCATATACTATTCTTTCGGTTTTATTGTGATCGACTTTAATGGATATTGTGAATGTGTAGTTTTGGATATATAAAATTATAGTCGTTGGAGGTTAGTAGTAACACAAGCAGGAACACCAACTGTGTGTACCCTTTAAAACACGTTTAATTTTCTCCTCTCACTGCCTGTTTGTTAATATTTACACCATAGTACTTGATGACTAACCCAAGTAGAGAGCGACGTCGCGGCGCCCCATCCTAATTTAATAACGCCCAACACTTTTGCCTTTCATTGCTTAATAAATTAACATAAATTTCTGATAAACGTCAGTCAAATTAATTCAAGATCCCGTGCGACTGCACAGGCAACTGACGTAACTGACTACGTCGGTTTACTCGAGAATATTGCTTACGATTTACAGATTTTGAGAGACAGATTTTCCACATTATTAATCAATAAAGAATAATACGATGTTAAGAATAATAAATCATTATTAGTTAACTAGTTAATATTTATAAATGGTAAATTTACAGTTATCGAGCAAATACAATTTTCAACTTTGATAAAGTTACGTAAGTCAACCAGACGCGGTATCTTAATATAAATCCTTTGGTGAAAAAACGCTTTGTCTTTACAAATAAAGAAAATTCTCTTTGGAATATTTAAATGTAACAGACGTTGGAAGGTTGGTCATTTTTAGTTTTGTTTTTGATTAAGACTTTATTAAATGAAAACTACTAGAGATATTAATAAGACGTAAAGGCGCAAATTAAAATTTTCTAATAAGCTTTTAATGTCCTAATATCTCACTGTTATTTTTTACTTATTTATAAACTAGTTACCCGAACCGGTTTTGTACACGATAAATTTTGGACGTTCTAAAAATGTGTAAGTATTTTGATGTTAAGATCCGCTACCCACTAATTATATTTCAGTGGTGACCAAGTAGACATTCGAATTTGAGTACAACGAACGAACGAGGACGAAACGAACGAACTAAACATTAGAACGCTTACTGACAATATACAGTGCAAATATTTTTTACTGTCACAAATGAAACAGCATAATCAGTTTACAATTACGTAGTCATATAGTTTACGATAGTAGACTGTTTTCTGTATTCAGTAATTCCGTCTCTCTATGAATCCAATTTTCTAATACGTAAACAAATACATTATGCTGATCCAAATCGTTCATTCAATGAGTGAATGATTATTATTAGTGAATGATAATAGAAACCTATCCTTGTAACTATGTTTTGGTAATATGGTAATTAAATACAATAAATAAACATAATAATGTACTGCGCAGTAACCTTCAAGAAACCTTCTCAAGTTTATCAAAATACGCTCAGATACGAAATAAATTTAACCAAACTTTATTAGCAACAAGTTATTGAAAACATTAAATTTCAGCAAAAGTTTTGATACTTATCATTTTCTTTATATTATTACGATTCTAAAATTTATTGATGTTAATAGCTTTCGCCCGCGACTCCGTCCGCGTGGAATAAAAACAAACAAATGTAAGTAGCTTGTGTGTTGCACTATCCTCTACATCTACACCAATTTTTATTTAAATCCGTACAGCCGTTTAGGCTACAAACTCTAACATCCATCCATCCATCTATACTTTCGCTTTTATAATATTGATTATTAGTATATTAGAAGTCTTTACATCGGAATTAAATTTAATAAAAGCATGAGTAGTTAGTATTATTTTTTTACAATTGATTTTTCTTCATAAAATATGAAATGTAGAGATCAGATTTACAACGTAAAAGATATCGTTTCGAAATAAAAATTCGTGAAGTTAATTTAAACTAAACTTATTGATTGCTTATACAATGGGAAAACTTTTAAATGTTTGAAAAATGTTATTTATTAACATGTAGAAAATATGTCCAGTCGTAGACATCCTTTGATAACGACGACGCAATATAAAAAGCGCAATCAATTATAAATACTTAATTCCTTAATTACCATAAAACATCTAACACCAATGCATAAAATACAGTTGAATTCCATTATTTAATACTAGCTTTCGCCCGCGACTCCGGGTGGAATTGAAAAAACAAAAGTGAATAGCCTATGTGTTCTTCCATCCTCTAAATGTATGTCAAATTTCATCGAAATCCATTCAGCCGTTTAAGCTACAAACTCAAACAAACATTCATCCATCCATCCATCTAAACTATGACATGTATAATATTAGTAAGATTTTAAAATTAATTTTAAAAACAAAAAACTTACCAATGAACAGTCCAAATTTTACGTTTTATAACTGCATACAGTCTCTAGAGAACAAATTATTAACAATGTCTATATATTTAGGTTATATAGTTTTTTATTGTGACACTGAAATATGTTTATTTTTACGCGGAGTCGCGCTTTAAGCATCTAGAAACGTACGTGTGCCCACAACGAACACCTCGGAGCGACTGAATCTACGCAGAGACCAGAGATGAAGGCTGTGTGTTGTACCTAGCAGGATGATATGAAACGACCTAATTGTTACGGAGAATCGTGCTTTAAAAGCTCAATTAATCCGGATATCAGTTTAAAATCCCTTGCGAGTAATTTCTTTGTAGTTTTAATAGCATTCGAAAAGATATTTACCTCATTGATGAAATAATTTAAGGGGAAATTGAAATAAAAAGATTTGATTTAAAAAAAGGTAGCTAGCCTTTGTAGCGAATAAATTCTGCCATATTTATTTTTAGAAGGTTATCGTAAGAATGATAACTTAAAAACTTAAAAAACCTATGCAGGCTTTCAGGTTCAAAAAGTATTTATTTACAGTTTCAGAAAGCATACAAACGGATTCGTGTTTCGTGAAAACGAGCACACATGAAAGCGAGTTTTAAACTTATTACAAGTCTTATTTCACAAGGGAATGCGAAGGCTTGACGAGTCCTGTCACTAAAAAGTCAATGATGTAAAGTTACAATTTGAAGCTTAGGATGTTTTAATACTAATCAGCGTTTAAAAAAATCATTTTAGTAACTTTATATACGGTACAATAGCTTCTATTGTGTTAAGAATCAAATTACCAAGGCGTTGGTAAAGGTGCCAAGAGTTTGGTGGAGTTGTAAGTTAAAACTTTAGTAAGCATCATAGAAACTAAAGCAAGCGTGAAACACTATCATATCAAGCAAGGTTGCAGCTTTTTACAATGTTCCGTGCGGAGCAGCGCGTCACGACAGGTGAAGTGGGGCACAGTGGGTTAAAATCTCGGCGTACATAGACATTTACAACATCAGGTTTAAATGTCTGTATAAGCCGAGAGCTCACTGTGCCGTTTCGAACTTTACGTCGTTAACTTAGGCTATATTTAAGTTTATATTAAATCCCACGCAGACGGAGTCACGGCCGATAGTTAGATGCTGTTTTGTGTTTTGTTTATTTGTGATTTAAACATTAATTGAATGATAACGAAGGTTTGTATTGTATCTAAAAACGTGGGTTTCCACTGGCAAAGCATTTCTATGTCGTGATCTCTCTCTTTTATGGGTGTCACAGCCTTGTTATGCTTTAATAAAATATAGTCTTCTTTACCTTTTATGTTTTCTTCCAATTTGCACAGAATAACCTTACTAGTAACACCGTTTTTCCATGTACCCACGCTCGCCACTACCAATACGGCCGTCGTGTCGTCGAGTCAATGCAACACCCTTATTTTTGACATCTGACTACTGTCCGATTATTGACATAACAAGTAGAATTCCGACATATTAAAACCATGATAAATATTTATTATTTAAATAATGTGTTGGATCGCAATTACAAAGTTTATATTGTTGTTTTAAATAAAGATAAATCGTATTGATTTATAGCACAGACTAAATAACCTACAAGAATACAGAATACATCAAAATAGTTAAAAAGCTAACACTTTGTTGTTGGAAAAACTGAGACAGCGATTTTTTTGTAAAAGTATCAGCAGTATTTTTGATAAAGCACCATTTCAATGTAACTATTTGAGTATGAGATCACAATTATTAGAATCGACGATCATTTTTGAGAATACAACGGAGTTTTGGTAAACTTTAATTAAATGTTTGTCTGAAAACATAATTATGATTTCAATTATGGTTTCGGTGTGAAGTTTGTATTCGAAATATTCCTGAACGGAATTAACAGAATGTTTTTCTCATTGTCTTGTCGGTATAACTTTGGAAAGTATATTAATTAGAACTCAAAATATGATTTTCTATAAAACAAAAATCAAATAAAAGAATGGGACCCACCTGCAAGCATTACCTTTCGAATAAAAAAAGAATTATCAAAATCGGTCCACTAGCGGCGGAGTTATGTCGTAACACACATAAAAAAAAAAATCGACGAATTGAGTACCTCCTTCTTTTGGGAAGTCGGTCAAAAAAAGTAAACCGATTTCAAAAGATATAATAAAGATAACAAAATAACATAAACAATTTATAGTTATGTGTTGATATTTGATTTTTATTTTTCCATAGGTGTCAGATTTTGTGTTTGAATTTTTTTTCCCATTATCAAAGCCTCAAATAAGAACTATTTTTCTTATAAAGGAATCATCTGAATCAGTAATCTAAGAACAGACTTAAATACACTAAAAATACATAAACTCTTCTTTTGAGTAGTCGGTTAAAAATACTAAGCTTTTGTCTAAATTAAGCAGTACATAGGAATAGGAAACATTTCTCTGATCTCTGTCAATGGACAAGCTACAAGTGGTATTTTGTGCCTATTTGATTTTCGCCATTTTAGCACTAACTGTCGTGGTGGATGGTAGATATATAAAATTAATTGCCTTTCAAATTTCCAAGCCTATCTATTTGTACGGATCATTATTTATAAGACGTATTTTCTGATACAAATATTATAAGTTGAAAAGTTGTCTATCACCTTTTCAATTCGTTGAGAGTCGAGAAGTTATATAGTTTGCAAATATTGTTCTTTAGTTATTGCATAAGAAGGGAGATGATACTTTTAAGTTTCCAACTTGCCACCTGTGTTAACTTTAAAACGGGATCGTACAAACAATATACTTTATAAAAATAACGAATGTTTTATAAGCAATAACAACAACTTTAATATCAATTTTTAGTCGTAAATCGGAGACAATGAAGAGACGGAGAAAAAAGCAAGTTTTATATTCTTAAAAATATTTATAAATACAACAAAATTCAATAATGAGAATAAGAAGAAGTCTAGTCTAGACTGAAAATATAAAAGTTCAGAAAACAATTCCAATGAATTTCTACTCATAGAAATCGTATGAAATCGAGTAGTCTTTAAGTTTTTCATCAAACATGTTGCATTATGTGACTTTCGAACCGCTTATTGGCTTTTTTATCAAGTAATAAGTAACAAGTTCTTAATATGGTTGTTATTGTTTACGAAGAAGCAATTGATTTCAAAACAGATTAAGGTGTCTACCCAGAATTGTGCGTAAATTACATTAATCATACGACGTAGACAACGCCATACAGCATTTCGATTCGCTGAGAAAATGTAAAGCATTGTTTGAGAGATTACACCGAAAACAATCTATATAAAAGAGAAATAATTGTTTCACGTATTTCTGTCTATAGTTTACTTATCTATTTATTTATTAATAACACTACATTTATTTATAACATTACATACACGCATTCATACACATTCATAATTCACAACATAACATCATATTCATAACTTATAAGACAAAGAAACTGACATTGCATAACGCTCCCAATAGTGTGGCGTGCGTTGCGGATGCACATCGTCCAAATTGCAACTCATGCACTGCGCCGGCCGGTAACCAGTCGCCGCTCGCTGCTACACTGTCACCCTTACCTCGTTCGCTCTCTCGCCCGCCATTTTGTATTTGTGTTCCTTTGTGTATTGTTAACATTATAACGTGTGTCCGAGAACGTGAAACAGTAAACTGTTTTATTATTACATAGTGTTTTTTTCACCGCCCGGTGAAATTTCGCCCTCAAATAGCGCTAAATGTCCATTTCTGTCTTAGGAAGCTACACAAACCTCTACACACCATCTACGATTGCTCATTTGACAAGACTAACACGGTCATAACGTACGGTTACTTAAATTTAAGTAAATCGTCTACCTTTTACTTTGTATACACCTTTGTTTTGAAAGGGTTAATTTCTATTTGTTTTGACACTCCTTTTTCGTGAATATTAATTGATATTTCTTTAATTATTTACTCCTTTGATCTTCACTTTTTTGTACCTTGCGTTCATTATTAGAAAGCCATTATATTCATTATTATTTGGAACTTTAACAAAATAAAATAACTATCTAAATAATCGATGATTTCTTTTATGTTGTGAATACAAAAAGTAGCTATTTTCAACAACAATTTTGTTACCATGGCAACGAAAAAGGGAAACGATTAAGGGAATTCTTAAAAAAATACGAAAGCGTTTCCAGTAAACTTCTTATTGACTGATCAGTCGTATACGATTATTTTCACGTGATCGAGTAAAAAAACGTTCTAATTTATTTTCCTTGTTTGTAATTTAGAGGAGCTGTGAGTGCCACCTTTATAACGAGTTTTAGATTTTAATTTGTCATCAATCTTTGTCAAATTGTTTTCAATAAAGTCTCAGATTGATGCTCGATTCAATCTAATTATGTTTTGGTAAAGCGTCGTTGTTGCTTATTACGTTACGGTTGCTATTATAGCAGTTGATTTATTTTAAACAGAATTAAAGTGGATATCTGATATAGACATTCAATAATCAAGAAATTAAATTGCCTATAATAGAGCATGTTTAAAACATAATTGGAAATAGCTTTTAGCGGCATCTATTCAAGATAGTGTATTTTTCTCACATTTTCCTCTTGCTTAAAGTTTCTGTTACTGAATTTTCGATACCTTAACCGTACATAATGTAGATTGGATTATCTACTTTATACTATGTAGGAAAATTCAAGGAAAAGTTTTTTTTATTATTAACTCATATCTAAATATTTTTTTAGAAGTGTTAAAACATTTAAGACAGTAAAAATTACTATTTTTTACTTTTAATACTCTATCAATGATAATTATTTATGTATTTTGTATGAAATTCGATTTCGAAAGCCGCAAACTTTAGTACACGAAGTAAAATTGTATTAAGTGAACAAAGCCGAGATTAGAATCATTATCCTTTCGATAAATATTTGCAAGCGCCGGTGTTATATTATTTAGGTCAAGATGTTTCCAAATTAACGTAAATCTGACGTAATCTGATTATGAAATTGATTACTTCCACGTGCAATGGATAAAGACGAGTTGGTAGACGTTCCTTTAAA